TGTTCATCGTCGTTTGCGTCTGTTGTGTGCGCGTGTCAGCGCCTGCCATGCCAACCGTGTGCGTTGTGAGACACTGCTGCAAGACGTACATTAGCGCAGAAAACATACGGTTTCATAACCTGCCGCGCGTACAATCCTGCGGCTTCGAGCCATTGGCCGCAATGGTCCGGACGATGTCGGCGCACGCGTGGATCACGTCTGTCCCGAACTTATTCTTCCGGGCAAAGCCTCGGCCTGGATATTTGGAAGAGGGTACTGTTTGATGTTAGAGAGAGGATTTAGTACAAATCTTGGTGTCCGTGTTGGGAGTCGTTAATGACACAAGAGCATCCCTGGTAGCTTCCTGTCTTAACGCCATGTTTATATGATCCCCTTCGTCGTCTTCTATCAAAGCTCAACAGCACAGTTTATGCAAATTCTCACTGCCCCATCTTTTTGCATCCAGCACGATGGGCATTGCCCATTAGGAATGTGTAACCGCCACAGGAGTTTTAGGAACACCCAAGCACAGCTGAAATGTTCACTTGTGTGCGTATGTAGGATATCTTGCCTTGAAGAATCTTGGCCTTGCATGTTCCCGAAAGTGGCACATTTCAGGCCAGTCTTCTGGTCATCGTGACACATGGCTCGTACAGCATGTACAGTGTTCACCAAGTTTATATAAAACACACATACTGCCTTTTCGGATGGCAGAGATATCCTGGTGGTTGTCGAGCAGAAGTTTCGTGACGTGGTACTCAACGGGCCATCTGGAACTGCTGCGTGATTAAGCCATTGTCCAACTTCCTTCGGGATGGCGTTACCATAAGAAAACACACAATTCGTGCGTTCTGTATACGTCAACACTGTATGTGGCAGTCTAAAAGCATGCCTTATTTACATGAATGATAATGCAAGGACCCTTTCTGAAGCCTCATAGACCACACCTCCATCCCAATGCTGCACACATTTCTTGAGATAGGATGTAACGAAAAATATTTTAATGATGTTCATCATCCAATACTTTGTTTACCTGGTTTTTGCAAGCGCAAAAATGTATCTTCAGTAACTTTCACTGTGGTTTTTATGTTCAGGTCACTGCTGTAGGTTTCTCACTAGAAAAAATAGTAAGTATATAATAGTGTAAGTCATAAACAGCTCGTAGCGCCCGCCATTTTGTAACATAAAAGAATATGTCCTCATAAACATCAAACTTGAAAAATGTCTTAAACTGTGATTTTATTGTGTACGACGTTTAGCTTTGTAAGAAATTAAAACTGTGTACCTATGACGAAAATAATCCCCGGAGAAGGGGAATCAGGGGGAAAAAGGAAAACACAAATCTCCAAACACAGCTAGGTGACTGGTGCGCGACCGAAAAAAATCCACCTGGCCCGCGTATCGAACCCGGGACCTCTCCACTTCCAGTGGAGCGCTGTACTAACTGAGCTAATCAAAAGTTAGACGTCAGTAAATAAAAAAAAAAAAAAGTGTGTACCTACTGCGATTGTTATGACTCCCTCGTGCCGATTTCTACTGAGGCAAATAGTCTGTGTTTTCAAGTACCTGAAAACACATGGACCTGTGCGCAATGAATCATTCATTTGTGAATTACTGATAAATATACAGATATATATTTATTTCGGTTCAGGAGAGCCGCGGCGCCGCAGACAGGCAAGTAGCCCATACCGTGAAGGCCCGCGGCGCCGCGTCCCACAATGATGAGATGGTATTGTACATATGAATCGAAAAAAATGGAGAAGATGGTTTAAATGAAGTTTGTGGACGACGGCGAGGGGTTGATGTTGCCGTTGAAGAGGGTGAAAAGCGTTAGGTCTTCGCGACGGTGGTCTTCACGGGGCCACCATGGGCTGCTGACTTCTAGCAGGCCGGTCTCGAGAGTCTGGCCAGGGCTCCCTGCTTGCCCGGCTTGCAGACGAGCCGGCCGAATTTCTGGTGACGCAGAGAATCCAGCACCCCGTGGTGGGGCTCCAGGGGGATTGGTACCGGTGTTGGCCGGGCGGGGGGACTTCGCGAAAGCGGGCCTTCAAGTCTCCCAGCTTGCGGTCGAGCTTGTAACCGAACAGCCTGAACACTCAGTCGATCGAAGACAAGGTCTGTGTCACTGCATGGTCCGCTGTTGGGCTTGCGCAACGAAGTCCAGAGCCCGCACAAGCCGCGCATTCGCCGTCGATGTCGTCGCCGCTATTCTCGTTGTCAAACGACTATAACGGTCTCTCGCGTGACGTAACAGTGTGTCTGTGTACGGCTTAAAACCTGGAAGCCGACTGCGCTGTAAGAGGCGACGCTGGAGCTCCGGGAGGTCGGACACCTTACAGTTATCTGAGCAAAATATCAGACGTCAGATGTCATCCGGGCTGGGTCATAAAATTTACTCAATCTTACTCCAGGGTAAGGGTTTTGTACCTTGGCCTTCTAAAACCTACCTGCGTCCAGCGATTTGCAATGTGTGTTGTCACTTGACACGACCCGCCGGATTCATCTGGGTAGGATTTGCAACACAGCCCCGTTGACCTGCGTGCGTGACGTCATTATGGCGCCGCTGTTGGAGTGAAATCTGACGCCCTGGCTGCGCCCATCGATTCCGGTCTACGTCACCATCTTGCGCAGACAACGAAAATGCTTTATTGGTTACTTATCGTGAACTGTTTGTAAAACAAAAAACAAAAAGCTCTCCCGAAAAAAATGATTTTTTTCCTTTTACTTTTGTAAATTAATTTGGACGATCAAAATAATTAACGTGGGTTATGTAATAAAGGAGAAGAATTCCAAATAAACATGTATAACTCAAATTTTCGAGAAAAAAAACGTTTTACGACTTTTTTTTAATTTGATGCACTTACACAAGCACAGACTCCGCGATGGATATACTTTCCCCTCAGGAACACAAGCACTTACGCGCGACCAAACTCAGACCCAGTTTCGCGAGCAAACAGTCTGTCTATTGTCCGAGTCTACTTCTTCGTGTTCGTTCCTGTTTGGCGCATACAAGTTTCCTCGACATCGTGCACCAACTAACCGAACAAGTCCTGTTACGCTATGTTATTGTAGAGTTTCAGTAGATCGTTCCGATACCTCCAATAACCATATCCGACAACGATATCCGATGACAAAACGATGCATGCGCAAAAGCAGTATCGGATATGGTTATCGGAGTTATCGGAACGACGCACTAAAACCCCCTGGTAACGAGTTGTCGTATACCGGTTTCACCCCTCCGCTATACTCTCCTCAACGAAGACGCGTTACGGCACTGCGGTAACGACAGACGCAAACAAGCTTCATGAGCGACGCCTATTCGCGGTCGATGGCCGACTTGTCTGCACACTCAAGCATGATGACGCTCACATTCCATCTTCAGCATGGATCTGTCCTCCCTCCTCCCACAGGCCCCAACTATATCCCGCAGACACTAAAAAGCGCAGGACCCTTCAAACAACCGCGACTCAAACTCCTGGCGCGCGCCCTTAGCTCACAGCCAGCCGCGGGCTCGCGGCGCGCGGGTTAACGGTTCCCGAGCACTTTGCTCAGAAAAATGCGACCCTTCAAGTTATACACGCTTCACGACACCGTCCCCCTCCCGACAAGTGCGGGCAAGACGCAGCACTTTGGGAACCCCCTTTTTGGAGCTTCGTAACTTCGTTGTGTCGCATCTTTTAGCCAGCGGGAAGTTTGGAAGCCCCAAGGTGCGTCTAGTGCCTCCGACCCAGCGCAGAATATACGACTGCTATACGGAGCGCAGGTTCGTCTGCTTCTTGAGCAGGGAATGAGTTGACGTCAGAACGCCGATACCTTATTGGCTCTGATTGAAGGATAGTGGGTATAGACCTCGAAGGAAGCTGCCTTGGCGTCTACCCACTATCCTTCAAATCAGAGCCCGTCAGAGCTCGCGAGCATCCTTCGAACCTGCCCGAGGCGTGCTCGTGGATAATTCTCTCGTCACGTCTGCAGCCAAAACACCGTGTTTTTCTTTTGTACAAAGTACAAAAAGTGGGACTGCGACGTGACACAGGCGGCCGCCGGTTCCCCTTTCGCAGCGGGGAGGTGTGAAGCGCGGGCCCGAGCGGGCACACTGCGTCGAGACGCGTCGCTCGCGTGCCAAGGGTGTGTTCCGTTCCCGGTTGGCAATCCCGGCGACTCTTCCGCGCAATACCGTCGCTCTGACGCAATTCTCTCGAGCCTTGGGAGGTCGGCGCGGGGAGTATGTGTTGCTGCTGCGGACTCGAGGGAGCCTGTCTGTCGCTCCAAGGGAGTCGCGTGTTTGGAGCGCCGCGCGCGAGCTGGTTTCTCTGACGGCCGCTGTTCGGGACTCCGGGAGCTAGGTTAGAAAGGTCGAATGTGCTGTGCGTAAACACGGTGCGCGGGTGGGCGGTCAACCGGTGTCTTCGTACCATCATTTTGGATATCAACGCGGAGTTGGAAGAACGCGTATCATAACTGCGCGTGTTTTCGAGGTAGGTGCTGGAACGGAACGCAGAGTTCGGTTATTCGTAGTTATGTAATGTTTCAATGACTCGTAATATATTCGTTACAGATATCTGGTTTTGTTACCTTCGTATAGCTTTTTCTCGCGTTTAAAAGTGCGTTAGATGTATTAATATTGTAGACCTCGCTGAACAAAATGAGCGAGGCGCATTCAAGACGGTCTCAATAAGAGTATAGGCTAGTGGTCAGTTGACCAAACCTGTCCAACCTACACCCACGCTCATGACCAGCTGAAGTACATATCTTCTTGCTTTTTTAATAATTTCCACGAGGCAAAACGTAAACGTCCTTGCATCGCATTTACAGCGAATATCACATCGCTGTAAAAGTCATACAAGAGAATGTCATATCGCCGTAAAAGTCAGACAAGAATGTTGTATCGCTCGTGTTGCTATGCTTTGGGAGCGAACGTTCTCCTTTTGGTAAATAAAACTCCGGAATCAGAGTTCTATTTAATCACGCGGCCGAGGATGGAGGCTCTTCGCTGCTGATACCCCCGACGTCTCGACCCGCAGGACAGCCGGACGACGGCCAGGGGCCCGGCTGGACGATGGCGTCCGACGTGACCACCCTGTTCTGCGAGGACGGTCGTGAGTGGGCGGACTACCTGGCCGACTGCTTCCGGCAACAGGCAGCGCCGCGGACCCTCTCCATACGCCACGAACTGCTCGATCAGCTGGAGCTGCCTCTCTCGCAGGACAGAGCGACGGCATTCGCCTCCGCAAAGGTACGCCGGTGCACGTTGCTCAGCTGTGTCAGTACACCTTTCCACTCCTTAGCACCGAGGCGTCAAGTCATGTCTGACATTCCGCTGGCGAGAGCTGCTGCGCATACACAGGACACACTCCACGGCCCGGTTCGATGCTCCGCCTCCGGCACGCGCACGTTGCCTTCCATCTGCTTTTGGCTGCGTGTGCGCCGAAGTGTTACAAAGGGCAGGAAGCTCGGGCTGGAGGCGGTACACCTAGCGCATTTCTAGCCTGTCACCCACCATGGGGCTTATCGATCAACTCAATAAATTTAGAAGGCCCAGAAGTCAATTATTCAGCAAACGTGGTGCTTGAAGCCTTGAACAATTGGAACTTGAAACACTGCGCAGATATATGACATAATGTATGACAAAAAAAAAACTGTTTTTTTTTTGGGGGGGGGGCGAAAATAAATCTCTTTAGTATTTGTACATACCATACACTCACATTCGTTTGTATAGATTAAATGCTCTTCCTTTTTTTTCTTTTTGTTTTTTTCGTTTGCGTCATGTTTGGCGTCCTGCATGCATGGTTGCACGGCGCGATAACGTTCTTCGATTAACTACGCGGGGACGACTTCCTGTATTGCCACGCTGTCAAAACAACGCACGTGCATCGTTTCCTTTCTCCGAACTGCCGCGGAAACACTCGTTTTTCACGATCGTCGTGTATTCTATAAAGAATAAGAAATACTCAATACCGGAAGACCGCTGGGCACGAAGTTCCGAGCGGCGCCTTCATTCTGCATCAACCGACGGCAACCAAGGTAATTAAAAAGTGTATGCACCTGATACTTCTTTTACAAGTAAGGGCAACCAATACAAATGACAAAGCAGATTCCACTGGAACAAAATGGCGGCCTTCAGTTTAAACCTCTGCTATGCGCCGCCATTAGCTTCCGAAACCTGCAGCGTCACGCAGTCGGTGGTTCAAAGAATGTCGCTACTTGTAGGAGTCTTATCTGGGGACTTCGGCAGCTCAAACTATAGTGTGAACGAGGTATTTCAGCTTGTCTTGAGAAGAGCGGTTCGACGAGGAATCAAAGCTCGATCTCGCCGTGTCGCGTGTCCGCACAGGTGGTCCTTTTGATCGTGTCTCCGGAGTTCCTGGATACCCTCGACCGACGCGGCGCCGAGCTGTTCGCCCTGGGTCGTCTGCTGGAGGCGGACCGGGGCCTCGCCATGCTGTGCGGGGTCGAGGCCCAGGAGCTGGGGCCCGCGCTGCGCACGGCCTTTCCGGCCTTCGGCTCGTGGCCCCTGCTCGAGGCTCGCAACCAGGACCGCGACTTCGTGCTCAGCGTCGTGGAGACGACGCGATCCATGCTGGACCGCGTCGAAGAGGCACAGCGACGAGCCGCGGCGAGGTCCGCGTCTGCCGGACAGCCGCAGTTCCGGTTGTGTCCACGCAAGGTGCACCAGGTGGGTGGGCTTCTGCCCCCTCGATGACCTGTTTTTCCTTCTTCAACATCTAAAAGTTTTTGGATTTTGTGAAGCCGCGTTCCGTGTCACAGACTGTGACGTCACGGACACTGACGTCACAGACTGAGGTTAAAAACCTATACACCAATTCACCGTCTCCGCTAAATTTAGCGGAGAAGTTGAAGCCAAAGAAGTCGTTTCCTCAATTCCTATGATATATATACTAATATACAGAGTATTCCACGTAACATGAGCGAAGGTGTAAAAATATGTTGGTGCATTTTAGGAAGACGAAACCAAGCGAATAAGTTTGTTTGTTGTTTGGAGCAAGTCAGGCTGTTCTTTTTTATATATTTTGTCCAGTTAGCTAATTACGATTAATTAATTAACTTTCGAAATATTCAATTTAGAGCAAAAGTTTCAATGACAAAAAGGTAGAGCGTCCTCAGAAACATCCAATTCATTGATTTTTATCAAGAAACACGATTCGTTTTTCCGCGCTTCAAAAAAGTGCCCCAATTATAGAAAAAAAGCAAATTTTTCAACAGCGCCCAGCCAACAGTGCTCTATTCAGCATGCAGGCATAGTTTATTCAAGCCACGCCTGAGAGCGCTTCAGTACAAAGTGCACATGCGCAAAGTCACACTTTTTTTTTTCTTCATAATTCGCAAAATTTTACAACTTTGTCATTGTAACTTCTTGTACAGGTTTGGGCACTCTCCCCAAACCTGTAAAAATGTTGTACACTCTTACTAAATATTCAGTGTTACAGATAATGCAAGCTTTTTTATTCCCTTTAAGGAGCATCAAGCGCAGTGACTCTCTACTGCGCCCAAATTATTTTTGGAGTGTTTTTTTTTTTTTTATTTCTCCTTCCTTATCCATGGCGAGGCCAGCCTACTAACGTAGCAAATTTTCCGTACAAAACGTTATCAAAAAAACAAATGATAGCTTTAAAAAAAAATTGCTACATCAAAACGGGGTAGTTATTATTAAGTTATTTTCCTTTCTTTAGCTCGTAAACTAGAAATTCTTTATGATCACAATCTCTGCATACAATCTGGTGTTGACTCGAAATTATTCTTGCTGTTAATCAGTGTGCAGAAGTTAGGGTGCGCGGAAGGACTAATCTTTGGCGGCGCTTTGCATCTTCCGAATACAGGGCAATAACAAGGTGTTCGTTATGCTGAACCAGCCCGTGCAACAGGACCAGAACATTCAACTTTCACTTGAAAACTCGGGGCTGAAGGAGGTGCAGGTCAAGTGGAAGAACCCGTACGTGCTCCAGTTTGTAGTTCCAGGTGAGTTCCACTTTTCAAGTCAGGTGGACGTTCCGTATTCCATCGGTCGCTTAGCCTTCTAAGTGTCGGAAGGAGGTCTTATATGATGCACTATACCCTAAGCAGATGGGTTAGATTCGGACCACTAATAAAACGACAGCATCGGCACTCCGTCCGCAGGCTGTCTTGTGGGCCCCGCCATAATGTTGCTTGGTGCAGATCGGTGTCAACTGTCGATAGTTACGATTCGAAAATGCGACTTGAAGCTTATTGTGTGGTATTAGGAAGATCGGGCGATAATATGTGAGTCTGTCGCGGACTGGTTTAATATTCCTGGAGAACGTAAGAAAAAATGTTTTCTTTTCGTTTTCGAATAATCATTCAACTAACTGGCAAGAATTATATATAGGTCGTTACTGGTCGTTACACGTCAAGTGCCGTTACTTTGAAGCTTTTATTCAATCACGTTAGGTCAGAAGAATGTATGGATGGATCGGTATAAAAACATTTAGTATTTTATGGTACTCCTGGTTCGTGCTCACCTGTCAACCAAAGTGACGAACCCTGACCCCTATCGGCGGTCGTCAGACTGCTTCCTGCAGGTCTCCAAGGTGATCAACGTGCACCTCCGCTGTGATGCTGCGCTGCTCGGTGTCCGCCAGCTCAAGTGCGAGTCCCAGCTGTCCCAGCTGCACGCGCTGCTTCAGACGGTCAGCTCGCCTTACGAGATGCTCTGCCTCACCCTGGGTCTGGCCACACTGCACGAGGTGGACGTGGCGCTCGCCCAGAACTTCCGACGCAACCTGCCCGCCCAGGGGTTCCACCTGCTCGGCCCTCTGCACCAGGCGGCAGAGAGGAAGCGCAGTACGTGACAGTCCTTGCGGCCATAGGGCCCGGTAGAAGAAGGATAATTGAACAGCACTTTGCAGACAGCGATAAAGTGGCGTAAGAGCACGACGCCGTGGAATATGCGCTTCTAAACTAGATGATGCATGCATGGAAATTTGCATAGTCCCCGACAGAATGAGAGTGACAAGGAGAATCTGTAGTTCTTCTTGCCGTTCTTGCCTTCGGCGCGAAATGTCCCATTTTGGATAACACTTCGGTGTTTCGCAAGCCTCCAGCGTGCACGCGCAGCTAAAGCACGGTGGAAGGCGACGAACGCGTGAAGCCGAGTGTTCAAAAAAAAACCCTGTCGTTTTTGCTTTGTCAGTCCCCATAGAATTTACGGGTTTCAGACATTGGCCGCTGTCTCATGCGTTCCATTGTGCATGAATTCTGAGGGTTTCAATTTGTTCCGAGAAATTGTGTGTGTTTGCGCGTGCGTGCGCGCGTGTGTGCTTGTGTGCATGTGTGTGTGTGTTTTTGTGTCTGCGTGCGCGTGTGCGTGCGTGTGTGTGTGTGTGTGTGTGTGTGTGTGTGTGTGTTTGTGTGCGTGTGTGTGTTTCTTATGGCCATGCGGCCTGTGTCTATTGTAGGCGAGGAGCTTCTTCCGACTCTGCTCCACTTCTCCGCTCACTACGGCCTGGAGGAGTTGTGTTCGGTGCTGCTCCAGTGCCCTGGTGCCCTGTCCTGCTGCCACCTGCTCAACTGCAAGGGACACTGCCCCGCACAGCTTGCCTCCAGCGCCGGACACCACCGACTGGCCACGGTCATCACAGACTTCCAGGCAAGCACACGTCATCAACGTCATCCCGTGGGCTTCTTTATTTTAGCGAAAAACATACGTCATACGGTCATCTCTCGAGAGGTAGGTTAGAAACCTTTGTGAAGACGGGTACCGAGAAAATAATCATAACTGATCGCTTGAAGCACGTACTTCGAGTTCCGCTCTCGATTTACTTCAGGGACGGGGCACGCACTCGAGACTGTATCTTCGATAGTGCTGCACGCAACTAGTAAACTTTCACGAACAATAAAGGTTTGGAAATTTTTGTTAAAGCAAAACAAACTGGGTGGTGAAGACCACAAATAGGCGTACCAGTTAGGTCGGTTGGGTTTGCAATGCGGAACCACTTATGGTATTTCTGTTTTTGGCGAAGCAAAGCGGCCTTATAAGCAACGCGTCATATTTATTAGACCGATCCCACTAATTAAAACACGTAAATATCGGTCTGCTGTTATTTTTCACATCGCAGAACGAAAATGGTGGCTGTGACTTATCTTTTATCAAAGCCTTAAACGTAAAATTTCACCGTTTTCTTTCTTGCTGTCTGCAGGCAGCAGGCGATGTGTCCATTGAGGAACAGACGCAAGTTACTGTCGCAACTTCTGCAAGAGCCCACGAAGTCCGCGCCAGGCACAGTCCTCCGCATACGCATTACGGTAAGGCCAGCACAAGTACCTCCCACGGTCCAGTGTGAGATATGAAATTTTGCGATTTCTCCCTCTAAACCTATGTCGCAACCTTCTCATCATAAGAGCATAAATTGGTACAAAAACATCATTTCTATGAAATTTAAAATAATGTTTTGGTGTATTACCTTTGCACTCAAATTCAAAATATATAGGATAGCTACAAGTAACTAGCGCACGTCAATAGTACATTTCTTTAACCCGAAGCTCCTTGAAAGGTGTTGCTTTGCTGCATGGCATATGAAGAAAACACGCCTGACACTTGACCCGAGAGGGTGGAGAGAGCGACGGCCGAGCGCGTGTCACCCTGGTGGACCGCGTTGCAGCCATTTTAACTTCCGTTCCGCGGAGGGAATTTTTTTGCCGTCTTTCGCAGCTACAGACAACGCCGGCTGCGTTCCATGAGCCGGTCAATGCTTTCGCATTAAAAAAAAAATCGTGCTTCTCTTTTGCGATATACGGAGCTTTCTAAACATGACAAACGTGAAATCTCTAAAGTCAGAAAAGGAAACAATAATTTAAGTGCTTTGACAGGGGGAGTCTACCTTACAATGGTGCGTGTCTCTGCTGTAACACTAGATACAGTCACAAACACCCAGATAAAATTACATTCTAACAATATGGTACGATTACACGAAGTTGAGACCTCGCGAGATTTCCTTGTCTCCATTGCGCCGCTCCATGCTGGGCAATCGCAAGTAGAACTGTCTGGTAATCGGCCCATATATAGAGACGCGCTGAGCCATGTTCGGACACATTACTGGAGCTCCGATTCGGCCGCACTGCGTACGAATCGGACACATTACTGGAGCTCCCCGTGAAACGCGTTGCAGAGAACGTCGCCCCCTGCCACTACGAGAGCCCAGGCTCCAGCCGGCCGGTCCCGGTGTGCAACCCGTCGTACGGCATGACCCGTGTTCCACCGGAGACCCCCGAGGTCGTCGCGGAGGAGCAGGAGGCCGAGTACCTGAGCATGATGCCCTTCGTCGAGCCGCCCAGGACAGGTACGTCTGTTACGGCGACAAGAGGCGTGCCAGTCCCAAGCATTATATATTATCGCTCTGGAGCTAATGGAAGTGCGGCAACGCCGATAAGAACGCCGGAGAATTTAATCACAAAACAAGAATCATCATAGGTGTGGCTCTTAAAGGGGCCATAAAATACATTTTTGGCTGGGAATAATGACTTTAGAATGGGGTTTTACTAATCGCACATCGTTTAGTGTACCAAAAGAAATAGGGTTGAAAGTCAAAAGCCTGCTTTTTCTGTACGAACATTTGAAAATATAGCGGACTATTTCGTACCTCCTTTCCTTCGAAAGGCCCTCCGCCTTTTTCTGTGTGATACATTCGCGGTACCCAAAGCACGTCAGCCGACCCCAGCTCAAGCATGGGACAAGAGCACTGCGTCACTCGGACGTATGCGCTCGTCAGCAATCAATCCGTGGACGAATATTTGGATTGGCGTTCGTGGTCAATGTGTGCCGTGACGGAACTTAATTATAATCGCTTGCGAGTGACAAGTTCCGCGATGTGCTTAAAAAGCACGCTTGAAGCTCGGAGTCATGGCATTCCGGTGAAATACTTCGTCACGACCACGTGAGTTTTTATTTCGCTTTTGAGTTGAGGAGGAAGGCTAGGGAGGACTGTAAGGACAGTGACCATCGATGCTGGCGGCTTTTCAGACTCAATATAACGAGGGACTGTTCTCTGTTTTGCTCTACAGGAAAGAGAGAGAGAGAAAGAAAAAAAATACAGGGTTCGAGCAGTTTTATCTGTTTGCACAAGCACTCGCGAAAGAAAGGCGCTTTCCAAAGGGCGGCGGAGAAAAACTCACTGGAAATAAGCTCGCAGGAAAAAAGCTCGCCGCAAAACCATCGGATGCGGCGAAAAGCTCACCTACAAATCTAACAATTGAACATTCACTCACGTGAAGTACGTTCACTCCACTGAAGTCTATGCTGGGATGCCTTGAATTCATGCGGTCATTCTTCAATTAACTAAAAGAACTTAATTAAAAAAAAAAAAAAAATTGGTCCTTCAACACGTCAGGCGTTGCGTGACAATAATAAAATAAACAATGTCAGTGGAACGCAAATGAAAGATAACCGGGATAAATATAGATGTGTGTAGATGGCTGCAGCTTGCGTAATTTCTGTGTATTCATATATTCAATGACTTTTCGCGTAATATACCGACACCGCATTGCCAAATCTTCACATTTCATCGTTTATTTAAGAAGCTGTGACTTTAATTGTTAACTCTTCCGATCGGAATATAAAAAAAAAAAAAGTCGTATTTTCTCTCTATCCCGACTAGGTCAGAATTAAATATGGCAACACTCACACGAAAAGGGTCGACATGAAAGCGGAACGAGGGCTAGCTGCAGCCGAGCGCCCTGCTTTGATATCTGTACACAGCGTGGGATTGTCACCATAAACACGCGATTAATTTTTCTTTTCTTTTCTTAGAATTGAGAGGCTGTATTGAAAGTACTCGTTTGGTGAAGAGCGCTATCGGGGTACCAACCTCTTGTGCTTTAAAATTTTGATGGCGGTCAACAACTTGTCTAAGTAAAATGTAAAAAAAAATAATCGACGATTTTGTGTTTTTGCTGATTGTATCGTAGAGTGTATACCGCCTCCGTGAGAGGCGCCTATGACCGTTGTTGCGCTACTGCTATAAAAGGAGATCGACCACTTCACACAAAAACTGAACTCGAAGTGAGCTTTTCCCCGGGACTGTCAAAATACTGGTGAACTGTTCTCAGGACCCGCACAAAAAGGGGTGAAATTTCTCCCAGTTAGCTTTTCTCCGGTGTACTTATCTCCGGTGAGCTTTTCACCGGTGAGCTCCGCACCGGTGAGTTTTTCTGCGGGATTACTTTCTAAAGTCACGCGCTCGCGTACGTTCCTCTGTTCTTTCTACTAAAACTCCCATATAGTATCTACATATTATAAGTGGTGGCAAATAACGCTGGATAAACATCGAACTACTCATTTATCTGTTGTTTTTTGTTTCGTTCTTGTTTTGCCCTCTTATAAAACAAGAATTTGGTGGCACAGCGCTCAACTAATCTACCAAAGCACCATGTTGTTTATTCGAGCACTCGCTTGTGACACGTACACGTGTCTCGTGTTGGGTTTTTAAGAGAATTTACGTACAACGGTGGAGCGTGGATACGCGCTTATCAAGTGGCTGTGCACGTGTGATTAAGAGGGCGACATCTGAAACTCTCAGTAATTTGTTTCGCCATAAGTGGAAGTAAAGTCGATGCTAAAGAGCACGCGTGTTCTCTCGAAGGACGTCTACACTTCATAAAACTAAAAAGGCGGTGGTGACAGAAGTATACCAAGGACATCGACAGCTTTCGCACGGGAAAGAAGAATAATTGGAGTCCTCCGGTTTCGGCAAACTTTGGTACACAGCACCCTAAAAAAAGAATACTTTTCGGTATTTTCGGTAACGGAATGCATCAGCTCAACTAATGCGCTAGGGAGCTTTCGTAGACCGCGTTTCCCCCTCCGCTAAGCCCTCCGCAAACGAAGAAGCCGCTACTGCGCCTGCGCGCCCATGGACTTGACTGTAGAGTTCCGGGTATCGCAGCGGGTTACGGAGGGCGTTGCGGGACGGCGAAAACGATCTACGAAAACTCCCTCATGTCTGTCTTGCGTGCGTGGGCACCCGCTAGTACGCGTTTGCACCTCGTCGTAGTCCTGACAGTTTCCGAGCGCTCGCTTCCAGAGCGCGCTGTGGGCGAACAATCAGTTGTGCTAATACCTCTGAGGTCTGGGATCCTCAAAAGAGTTTCAGTAAACCGTCGATGCTCCGTTTCATCTTATGATAAAACGCAGCATACGCTACGATCCATTCCACCTGACCCAGCGCCGTGACCTATCACGTGACCCTGCCCCAAAGCCCAAACGTCACTGCCAAAAGAAAAGTAATGGTTTTTTTTTTGGTTTTTTTTAAAGTAAATATTGGGTGTTTGCGGGAAACGAAAACCGTGCTATTCAGCCCGCGGGTAAATAAAGTAAGCATCGCAGAAAGTTTGAACTCCGTGAGAATGTGACGCTGGCAGTTGGGACAGAGCGTGAAAGTTTGAGAACATGACGTCACCCAGATCAAAAGGTAATTGAGAAAAACAAAACTTCTCTTTGGGCCCACGTCCACCTTAGCCTAATATCGTTAAAACAAGAAATGACATTGTGGCAGCATGTAGCATCTTCTATATCAATGAATAAATCTTCTCAGCAAGGAAGAGGATATTGTTTTCTTTCTTGCTGACAAGTTTCTTTCACTGAAACTTGTCACAGTGCCATTTCTTGATTTGATCATAATCGGCTTAGTTAGACATCGGCTCATAAAGATATTTCGTTTTTCTCAATTATCTTTTGGTCTGGGTGAGGTCAAACTTTCGCATTCTATATCGCAACCACTGGCGAAACATTGTCACGAAGTTTGAGCTTTCTGGGATGCATAATTTATTTACCCGAGCCGAAAAACACGGTTCTCGTTTCTCGGAAACTCCCTGTAATCATTTGTTTATAAAAAATGCATTTTATTTAATTCAGATTTATTCGACTGAAATCAGATTTACTTAATTTAAAGCACTGAAGCTTGAAAATAGTGATTCCTTATCTCTGGATCAATGATTCATCAATCAATCATTTTTTTATTTTTTGGCCTTGAAGCCAACGATGCCCCATATGAAAACCTGCCAAAGGCACCTTGACGGGGTCTGGCGATATATTTTCAAGCATGGCAGACTGATTACCTAATGCGAAATTGCTTGGTAGACTGACCATACACTCAGAGTTTCGCCATTTTAATGTTGGCAAGCGCCGTCGGTACACGAGGCACGGTGAAGGCATCGCAGACAACCGTACGGCAGTGAGCTATGGCCCGGCAGCTGTGTTTTCTGCCTTCCGACCATGGAATGTGGACGAACGGTTTAATCAACCTACCGCGACTGTCTGACGAAACTCTCAGAGGCCTGTGCACGCTGCCAGCCACGCCATCGCACACTGCCCGTACGGTTGTCTCCGATGCCTCCAGCGAGTTCCGGTACAGACGACGCCTGCCAATACGGCGACGCCCTCACTGTTGTCCGACAGCCAACCAATTTTGCATAAGGTATATAACAAACTTTTATTGGTGTAATATCGGCCATATTAGAACAGAAACAGCTTGAATTTTGCTACTTACTTGAAAAGCTTTATTTGATTCTTTTTTTTTTTTTTTTCGTGTGCCGACTTGGTTCTATACCAGGCATTACATTTTCTAGTTTCCGTTTCTTTATTTTGCGTTCTGATTTTGTTTGAGGGTAGATATCAAGCTCAACGCTCCGACTTGCTCAGAATTTCTTTTTGCTAGTGTTTAGTCATATACAAATACATATTGCTTGACGATCCTTTGATTTATATGCAAAACAAATGCTCGTACAAGAATACATCAGTTGATAGACAGACGGTGAGTAAGAATATGTCGGGGGTTCCAAGTCACCAGGCTCGATCTAAGATGGACCGTAAAAATCGACGCCTGCACGTAGCCATCTAAACTTTTCGTCAACGATGTATTTCGCAGGTCGGTTGTTTCTTGTAAAATTACAAAGCGTAACTCCCTTTCAACAAAAAAAAATAGGGCCTAGAAACTCGCCAGCGTCAACGACTGGCAGCGACACAAACGACCAAGTCAAATAACAGGGCGCGTTTGGCGCTTGTATTGATGGATGGCGTTACCTCTTTATCGAGACTGCTCGCGACCACTGTGGTTTATTAAAATAAACACAATCTTTTTTGCAATGTAAGTGCCGTTGGTTTAAAAATAAATGCGGACAATATAATCAAAACTCAAAGTAAAAGAACACGTTTGCATAACGACGGCGCTTTTGCTGCCAACGAATTTTGTCTGCGTGTCGTCTGCTTTCTTTCGCTGGTTGGCTACACCATCGTACGCCGCTCCCGACGCCATCTAACAATACGCGCGTCAAACACACCCCGCAACTCAACTCGGTCATCTGAGTCGCCATCCGCCGTTGACTCTGGCAAGTTCCTTGCCCTATTTCTAACAGAAAGGGAGCTACGCTTTGTAATTTTACAAGAAAATACCGACCTGTGAAATACAGCTTTGACGAAAAGTTTAGATTGCTACGTGCATGCGTCGATTTTTACGGTCCATTTTAGATCGAGCCTGGTGACTAGGGACACCCTATATTTTCAGGATAACTTCTGCGGAAAAGTTTTATTTTAAATCACCATAGTAAAACTGCTCTGATTTAAATCTCGTTTTAAATCAATTGTGATCAAATCAAGTTTATTCACAATTTAAATCGTATTGATTTTTATTCTCGAGCCTGGGACTCGCTGTGCTACTTTGCGAACACGTAGCACTCACGCGGCGTTACGTTGGCGTTCGCTGTGGTTTATATAGCAAGGCGAAACAGGGTGTCGCGACCGACGTCTGCGGCTCTCTGCTTGTTCAGTGCACGTACTCGCAGCTAGTGGCGGCAAGTTGGTTGGTGTTTTTGGTCAAAAGCTAGAAAAAGGATAAATGAGAATATAAGTCACTGGTTTAGTGTCTCCTTCGCGGCGTTTTCGTCAAGTCGGAGTCCCTTGAACAAACAAGGCCGCAGAAACACACAAAGTTGCCAATAAGAATTGCAACCGGAAAAATTCTTCCAAATAGAGTCGCTAATCCTTCCCTCCCCCCTTCCCCTTTTTTTTCCTTTCCCTCTCTCTTTCTTTCGCTTCACGGTACCAAGATTTACAACGAAGGAGCGTGCCGTTTTGCTTTTCACGTGGCTTCAGTGACAATAAATGCATCAAGAGGTTCTACCTGTTTCTTCGTTGAAGAGAAAAACATACATTCAGCTGCTCCTTTTTTTCTCCTTTTTTTTCTTTTTTTTTTTTTGCATGAGCCTGTCAAATGTTTAGTATGCTTGCAGTTTCGGATAAAAGTTTACGTGAGTACAATGACCTCGACTAACATTTTTACATTTTTTCTAATTAAAATTAAAATGAATAAGAATAAAATGTGTTTCTCTGCCTACACCACCAAACGGTTTAACAGGTTCAAACCAATTAAAAATAAATAAATAGAGACCTCGACTAACAGTGCCCTTGACTAGGTCAACCGATTACAATTTACCTCAGATTCAAGTGACCTCTTCTTTCTTCATTGGGCGAACAATCGATCGTCACCTTAACTACTCTAGTCGGTGACAGGTTGATAGTGTAGGACAAGCTGCTCCCACAAAGCCCTTCACTCTTTCCACTTTAGCAGAGTGAACGCTGCAGAGGAAGCGAGGAGGGACTCGCCGCCTCCTCTCCACAGTTCCCTCTGCTAAAGTGTACGGAGTGGAGGGCTTGTTGGGAGCATCTTGTCTTGCATTCTTAGCCTGCAACAGACTGGTGGAATGACTGGTGGTAGAAAGTGATCAATCGGGACAGAAATCTAAGCTGTAAAATGTTATGCCCACCACTAAAACTAAAAAAAAAAAAAAAATACACCGATGTCGCGTTCGCGCTAACAACGTCGAGCGGCATACATGAGCAGGATATCAATTTTGGCACTAAATAGATTTTTTTAATATTTCACGTAAACAATTTAATCTTATTGCGACACCCGTCTTTGTATTGGCAGTATTATATGAATCCTAACTGCAGTAGCGACTCCTCGTAACAAATCTTCGTTTCGCGCAGTTCCAGATCCGTTCCACGGCCTTGCCGGAGATGAGAGCCCCAGCATTCCGGCAACGGAAGCCACCGCCATTATTCCCGACGAAAAACCATTGCCGAGTGAGTTGAGCTCGTCGGCGTGCGATACAGTCGAATCGAGAGTTGCCACGCGCGTTCAAATAAACCGCAATATCTTTTTTTCTTTTTAGATGGCACCGAGATTGTGTTTTCTAACACTCAAGAAGACTTGGTGAAGATTATCGAGATGTACAAGAAGGGCGTCCCGTTTGCTCAAATCGAAAGACTCTTTGACGACTGGAGAAAAAACAACGAGACGGCCAAGGCTGGCGAAGAGGTAAAAACGCTGTAACCTTCGAAATAAAATGACACTATCGTTTTGCGGGCTCACGTCTGGGGCGAATGCAGCCAGAGCGCTGCTATGTGATGGCGCCCTTTGTGTTGTTACTATTGTCATATATGCCCTCTAGTCACTTGCAGAGTAAGAACAGCGGGGCGTGTTTTTCAAAGGCCCAGCCTCCAGCTCGCGCTCCATGTTTTCCACCGTGCTTCGGCCGCGCGTACACGAGACGCCGCCGAAGCACTGTCGAAGGTAGGAAGCTCGCGCCGGAGGTGGGACAAACGAAGTTCCTCCCTGACGTTCTCACCCTATCAGTGACTATCGACGTAATTCTGACATATTACCCGACCTACCGTGTCTTCCTGCATACAACTTGGAGCTCAGTACTTACCACACGCTTATTTAGTTATCCCGTAATTTACAGCTTTGAAGAAATTTTCAATTTACACATATTTGTTAGTGAACTGACCTTGAACAGAAACTTTTAACTTGCCTTTATCTCTAATCGATGGAAGGGTAAACCAAATGGAGCACGGTACTCATTTTTCGTTATCATAAGCAAAGGATGAAAGTTGACGCCTGCGAATATGGGTCTCGCACGACAAACATATTTACTCCGGAAAAAGCTATAAATGTTTTGCAACAAAAATGTAAGCTGTGACAGGATAGAAAAATTCCGTTAGAATGTTCGATACTCTGCTCCATCTCACTAGCCGCGCGCGGAGCCAGCAGGGGTACAGGCGCCAGTGTGCGCCTTAGGAAGACACTTTTCTCGCACGCGTTTTCATGGAGGGAAACCGTTTCAAAGGACGGTGCTTTCGCACGTGTGTCCTCGCACAAAACTCGCAAGATATTAGAGACTGAAACGATTGTTCCGCAGATAGTTCTATAGCTCACGACACATTACACACCCGCAGAGCACAGTTTACTTGATGAAATTAGTTATTCAAATATATGTTCAGATTTTGTCACCGATAATGCACAGCAAAACGACTATATTGTTTGGTTGCTTAGGTACAGCCGCGACTTGTGGTCTGGTCTCCCCGAGCCTGCTAATCCACTGAAACCGGCCATGACGAAACCACAGACCACCAGCCATAGTGACAAGAACAACTTTGGTGTCGTCGTAGACACGAGGTAGCTTCACTTCGTGTCAGCGATGACAGTAAAAAGAGACACGCTAAAGTCAGTTATGACTCCGTACATGCCCCCTCCCCCTTCCAGATCCCCAGGAGTATTATTCAACTGTTCACAAACAGGCCCGCGTTTGATCAGGTGTGGGCACTGCGCATGCGCGGAAACTCGATTTGCGTCAGCGTGGCGTCAGCGGCACGGGTTGGGGTATACGACAATCTCCTCCATTGTGCTATACGTTGCTTCTGTAATCCCGAAGACGGTGCCGTGACGGGCGTGGTGCATTCGACGTCGCAGAGCGAGCTTCAAGCCCTCCGCGAGCTGTACAAGCAGAAGCAGAGGTCGTCCCCCACAAGCAAGCAGCTGTTCAGCTTCAGCGATCTGCGCCTGATCCTCACGGGCAAGGGCGCCAAGCGGTTCAACCGGAACCGAGACCTCCAGACGTCGCAACAATCTTTGGTGAGGAAAAAAAAAATATATATCGACATTTTTCTAAAATTTTAACTGTGTAAGGTTGTCCTGCGTCTGATGCTTGACAGCTCCGTATGTCTCGGAGATTAATTTCAATCGTTGGGGGAATTAACCGATATGTAAAATCGTAACTGCGCTGCCTTTTTTTTAAATATATATTTAGTTTAAAATGCGTGAGCAGCACACTCATTGTTACTTTTCAGGGAGGAAGCTCCTATCCCATTGTTATTTCATCTCCAGGATCACAACCTTCTTGATGACAAAGATAAGTTTGGTCATATCCTATGACTAAAAAAAAAAAGAAATGTCTAATTACGTCAGAAGAGGGCATCGAAAATTTTAATATTAAAGAAAATAAAAATAATCAGGTTGAAGTTCAGCCGCTCCTGCAGGAAAACGTGGTTCCAGGATAGTATCTGAACAAACATTCTGAACAAAGGCAAAAAAAACATATAGACAGCAGCATTGGCACCACTGTGTTTCGGTTACATCCGGGGAAATTTAAACGTACGTGCAATGGCATTCGCAATAAAATCGTGAACAATATCGTAAGAGGTGAGAGCGCGTGGCGACGCCAGAACGCCGAGCTCTTACTGGAATGATGAGTGGGTAGACGTAAAGCTGTTTGCCTTTATGTCTACTCAATAGGGAGTTTTAGAATAGCGCACGCTAAAGCTTTGCGTGCGCAAAGAATAGGGAGGTTTAGAATAACGTACGCAATTTTAGCGCACGCTAGCGCTAAATTTAGCGCTTGTATTAGCGCACGCGGCGCAAGAGAGTTTTAGAATAGCGTTTCTCCGTCGCGACGCAAAAGCCCAAGCATCTCGCGCTTGCAGCGCCACCAAGATAGTCACAATTTGTACTTCACACACGAAATGCTGTAACTTTAGAAAGAAACAAGTCTTTTGGTCCAGAGTACCATTTTAGATTTGTTTAAACACGAGAATGCGACGCGAGCGGTTGACCGGTCGTGCCCGCTTGCGTCGCCTCGGCAGGAGAGGTCTCGTGTACTGACCTTGGCCGAGAAGTGTTCGCGCGTCGCAAGCATCAAGTTGCCGGTGATCGTTGCCAAACCCAGTACAATTTCGTCTCGTAATTAAAATCGTAGTCGCGAGGATGCCGCCGACGTCGCACTCACGACGTCGCCAAAGCAACCGCCGACATAATCCTGGAAGCAGCCATTGTTGCTTAACTCTGCTCGTCTTGGCTTTAGCAAACTTCTCATCATGAACCCTCCTTGGAGAAGCGCAAAGGCTCTTTGCGTACGCACGCTATTTCCGAGAAATAGCGCACGCTAAAATTGCGCACGCAAAGCGAAAAACCTGGTTTGCGTTCGGAGCATGCCCAGTGGCGACGACGCTATTCTTTGCGTGCGCAAAGCTTTAGCGTGCGCTATTCTAAAACTCCCTAATAGCGTCGTCGCCACTGCGAATGCACCGAACGTTAACCATGTTCAGAACTTTGCGTACGCTATTTTTCGAAAATTCCGTGCGCACGCAAAGCCTTTGCGCTCCTCCAAAGAGGATTCGTGATGAGAAGTTCGCTAAAGCCAAGACAAGCACAGATAAAAAAAAAAAAAAAAATGGCGGCTCCTAGGATTTAGGCTTTGCTACGACCATGGCTCTGGCCGCTTTGGTGGCGTCGTGAACGCGACGTCGGCGGCATCTTCGCTACTGCGATATTCAATATGAGGACGGCACTCGGTTCGGAAAACCCAGTAAGGTGGGCAACGATCGCCGGTAACTTGATGTTTGCGACGCGCAAACATTTCTCGGCGAAGGTACGGTATGCGAAGGTCAGTGCACGAGACGTCTCTCGCCGAGGCGACGCAAGCGGACACGACCGGTCGACCGATTGCGTCGCATTCTCACGTTCAAACAAATCCAAAATGTTACTCTGGACCAAAAAAAAAAAAAAAAAAAAAAAAAAGCTTGTTTTTTTCTCAACTGACAGCATTTTGTGTGCGAAATAAAAATTGTGGCTGTATCTTGGTGAAGTTGCAAGCGCGAGATGCTCGGGCTTTTCCGTCGTGGCGGAGAAAACGATGTTTTAAAACTGTCTTGTGTAGCGTGCGCTAACGCAAGCGCTATATTTAGCGCTAGCGTGCACTAAAATTGCGTACGTTGACACTTCGAACGCGTTCGAAGCGTCAGTAGAGACAAGGTCTGCCCACTAATCATTCCAGTCAGATTTCGGCGTTCTCACGTCATCGCGTGCTCTCGCCTCCTCGTCTCCCTTAGTTTCTCGGCTCATAGGCTAGCCGAGCAGTTGTACTCCAATTCGGGTAATTTTTTTTTTGCAAAGACTGGAATGAAGTCGTATTTCTGTTCAGCACAATAACCAACGCGAGCGCGTATGAACGCGTCTGGAGGTGCGCTTCTCCCTTAACACCTGCGTACTGAGGAGAAGTCTATCGCTTTCCCGTACAGCACAGAGCCCGACATGCAGGACGCGCTTCTTCCGTCTGGCGCGACTGAAGCATGCTGTAGAAATGCGCCATAACCTCGTTTATGCGCTTGACAGCAGACCAATTTAAAATCATGTTATCAAAAAAATAAAAAAAATAAATCCGCCGCCGCTGACAACAGTTTGGGCGGGAGTTGATGGAACGTGGATCAACATTTATACCGCGGGAACGTCCACGGGTTCGAAGCACCCAGACTCGCGCGAAAACAAGTAGAACACGGAACGTAAACAAATATATGGACCACACATGTTGTGAAAAACAAGAGGGGACGGCGACGAAAGAGAGCCGTCCTCCGCCAATCAACACGCGTGTGCATGCTTTCCTCAGATCTCGCGGGGTGGCTTGGCGCTTGGGCCGGGAGATAAAAGACATACAGAGGGTGAAGATAACCAGGCAGGGGTTATCTGACCACGATGGCATAAGTTGAGGGAAGATTTAATAATTATTCCCTTCCTTGCAATCCCAGGGCAGAAAGTGCACGCATCCGGTTGCGAAAAAGAACGTCTGTCGCACGGGTCGGATATATATATATATATAATATGTATATCAGGCATGTAGCCAGGGGGGTAGCCCAAGGGGCCCGGCCGGCACCCCCCCCCCCCCCCCCCCCCCCCCCCCCCCCCGAAACAAAATCCTGGCTAGGTGCCTGATATGTATATATATTTTTTTTTTCTAGTGGCATTATTGAAATAATAAAGGTGAATACGCATATTAGCAGCCGAGTAACACTGGTTAGGTGGCGCAAGCTTGTGCCCGATTCAGATGGTATGGCCTTATTCATACATCCATCCGTTGTATAGCAGATCGCATGCCACGAGGCTGAGTGAGTTAGTGATGTGTGATGCGGTAAAGCCGGACCTGTCGATCGCGGAGCAGCGTGAACTTACCCGAAGATACCAACACAAAGCCGAAACGCGCTGCGGCATCGGTCTAGAGGGCTGTTTTATTTGCTGCTGACATTCCGGCACTTCGGCTTCTAGTTTTTTTTTTTGTTTTTTTCTCGAAAGGCCTTTGTATTTATGCAAATACTTTCAAGGCCCAGAGGGCATTAACAAAATAGAGTAAAAAAGCACTGAGATTTTGGCTTTTTTTTCCCCCCATTATATCCGCGGCACCGTTTCAAGTTTGTTCGGTAAAACTTAAAGTGGGATAAAATGAGATGAAAATCGTGCAATAAACATATAGTTCATCATATTCGATGTTTTGCCCTTCTTGGGTTCATCATAAGTGGTCTTGGCTTACATGGCTCGCCCAGCAATAGAGGTATAAGTAAAACACCAATAACATTATTACATTTTAATGAGAGATATTGATGCCAGATATTGTGCAGCAGCTGTTTTTCTTGCATGAAACTTTGTAATGTCCAGATGCGCTAGTACATTTGAGCCCATGTTAAATAAATTCATGAGTTGATATTTGTTTAAAACTACTAATCCTTATTTTCTATGTATTGCTAAACAAAATCATATAAAAGGCTTTGTTACTGTTGTGGCTATTACGAAATTGGCCGACATTGTTTTGTATCTTCCTGCACTCTTCAAATTATAAACCCAATTTGTTCTAGATACCCTTAGAGCATGCATGCATAAAAATTAATGGGCTTTTGTTTTCATGTTTTGTTATGCTAACACTAAGACTAACATAAAGACAACCAAAATTATAAAAGCCAAAAAAAAGTAACTCGTTATATTTAGTCACTTATTTTACACTACTGCCAGCCACCTGTACCAAGGCATTGCATTACTGAATATAAAGTACACAGGAAAAGCAAAAAAAAAGGTAAATAACAACAATGTTGTACTAAAGGACAACAGTAAACATATATTTTTCAATGATTTTCCAGAAGCTGGACGGAAAAGATGAGACAAGTGAAGGTTTCCGCCGGGTCAGCACACTGAGCGCCGCTTCAACATCCAGCAGCACAAGTGAGTACCCCCAGTGCAACCATACTTCATTCAAAAGAATATCACGTTTCTTAATGTGCTTAGTAATTGCATAAGCCACTTCAAACTTGGACTGCCTGATAATGTCAAACATTTATTTACTTTATTTAGGTTAATGAATAAGCTATCAATTTACAACCAACTGAACAAAAAAAAACAACTTGCCCTACTTTATTTTATTCCGACAGGGACTAACCGCAAAGGCTCTTTTCGTTTTAATGCGCCTCAGCTGCACTCAGGTTCGTGCAGTTGAGCACCAGCCAAAACTATCTGCTCGCATTTGTAGCCGTTGCACAGGTAGTCCATGTTAAGGTTAGACAAAGTGGACATGCACATGTCAAAAGATTAGACTTGATTCCCTGTAATATTCAGAAAAAAAAGAGTGGAATCTTAAAGTGGAGCCTCACTGGCATACTCTGTATTCGCCTTGTAAAACAATCACAGGTAGTATCATGTGCGTGTTTTCGCAATCTGTACAATCAACTCCTGGAATTTCCGGATGCTGTCAAAGCCCATCTCTCACAACTTCACAACGTATCTGAGAGATGGGGGGCCAAGCGTGTTAATACACCGCGTCTTGGGCCCGTGGATCAAAAGCTCGAGTTTAATTTCCACAAACGCCTATTTCGATCTGGACGAGCATTGTACAGGTGTGTGTTTACGTATCACTACTGTATGATGCAGGTTAACAGTCATTCTGCACTGGCTAAATTTTTCATCTGCGGCGTATAAGCAAGTGTCACCATACCTCAAAGGCAGACCAACCTCACTCTGTCTAAACACAAACGTCTCATTTACTTTTGAACGACGCATCTGCAGGCTCTTCGTCCAGCGACCGGTTGAGCACCATGAGCTCTGTGAGTGCTTACGACAGTGGCACCCACTCGGACTCGTGCGAGGAAGGCAGGCCCGTGCCCCCTCCCAGACCCCCCAAACTGCCCACCGCCAGGCAGAGAAGTGCCCTGCCTGGGTCTGCACCCCACCAGTACTACGCATTCCCAACTACTGCCGCAGATGAAGCCCTTGGACATCTGTCCAGTGGTACGAGAACTGGAGGCTTCCTCGAAGGAAAGGCTGCCGGGGATGTTCTTCAGGGTGGACTTGGAGAGGATGTAGATGGAACCCAAAACAGTTCAGGCAAGACGAGTGAGTCGGTCGTATTACTAGTGTTTGGCTGATTTTACATCTTTTGGGCATACTCAGCTCACCTCCATAATTCACTTGCAATGATTGCTGATGTAGCCTGTTTAAAAATTAAAATGGCACGATGCAAGTGTAATTTCCTCTCTGTAGACAATGACCTGGTGGTATTACTCTACGAAACTAAATCCTATAGGATTCTTAATCTCAATGTTAATTCTCATTATACTCCATGTTTCAATTTCGGATGCATGTTCATAATTACTAGATTAAGTGCATTTTCTACTTGAAAACATTAATATGATGGTTCTGCAAACTCACACATCTTTGAGAGTATACTACAAAGGTGCTCTGATAATTTTATTGAAGAAAAATGGTGATTAGAGTCACACTCATCTAACCCGAGCAGGCGGTCATGATTAGAGAAACATGCTGTTTCTTGCAAGGAATAGTCTTATATTTATTTGAATAAAAAATATGTGCATCCCAGTAAAAAAACAACAAAAAAACTAGTAATTTTAAGAGTTTGTTTGTACAATTGTTTTTGGTTTGAAATACAATATGTTTACCCACAAAGTTTGCAAAATATAAAGCTCTATAGCAACAAACCCGAGGTACATATTATTATTCGAAGGACGGATTAGCAAACAACATGGTAGCATCACTATCTGCCCTACATATCCATCCTTGATTTTCAAGAGATAAACTCCAGTAAAATCAGAAACAAGATACTACTCGTGATTTTTTCAAAGCCTAAAATCAACCGGTAAAACACCATCTTCACGGAACCGCATTTTCATATTTCCGTCTTTCCAAACTTGCAGTTAAAGCGGACGATTCATCGAAGGGTATCTACTACGACATACCTCAAGCGCCCCGACCAGTAGTGCAAAAGCCGGATCCGCTGCTCGACTATGACTTTCCAATGGCTGCCCTGCGGAGGATGAACCAAGCTGCAAGCACGTCACGGAGGTGCTCCGGTCCAGATACGAACAACGGCAAGCACTACTACGACGTTCCACGATGGACGTGCACCGGGCCCAAGGAAGTCCGTCTGAGCATTCCCGACGTTCCAGCACCGCCTGTACCAGATGACTAGGCACCCGTTAGTCGACCCGATTGGTTGCCATTTTGAGTTACGTCTGTGCAACACAAAAGATGTCTAGGAAGTATATTTCATAACACCCTAGTCCCACTAGAGCAACAAACGGCAATAACCAACACCGACAAGCATCAAGCATGCGCAGCATATACGCGAAGGTATTTTTTGGCAGGGTCACAATCACTCGTGCTTACTTCAGGCGCGCCGAGAGACCGCAAGCCTGCCAAAGGTACCCTCGCGTGAGCGCTACACGTGCTTGAGGTTGGGCAGTGTCGGTTGTTTCCGTTTGTCGCTCTAGTGGGACTAGGGCACAATCAAGCGTGTCCAACTGGCCTTTTCAGATTCAGACACCTCGACGTTCATAAAGTGCAAAAAAATGGTGGGCACAGAACAACGGCTAGAGCGACGAACATAAGCCGAAGAATATTCCGGAGTCAGCCGAGCTGCCATTTGTGTCAGAAATTTCTTTCGAAAGAGCCTTTTCATTAGGTGAACCTTGTTCATTGCCTGCTACATAGTGAAAACTCAGCAGATCGATAATAGCTAGTTATAAAAGGGACTGCTCCCTGTGTGCATACGCTGCCACCATTTTGATGAAATTACAATTTGTCGCTGATATCAGATTGCTCAGCTTTCAAGGTTTTACTATACAGGAGGCTAATGCACTATTTGTTGCTGTTGATACTGCCAGCTGGCTCCGAACTTAACCAGATTTAATTCTGTGATCTAACAAATTTGTCCACGTAACAGATACGGGTCCTCAGCTATCTCCGGTTACTAGAGTGTGAACTGAGGTAATGCAACTGAATAGGCTGGGAAGTCAAGTAAACCAGCACTTCAAGATGTTCAATAGCCGGGAAGCCATATTCTATGTCACTTCTATTAGTACCTTAGCTACCCGAAGTAAGCTGCCCGAGGTACTGTATGTTGCAAGTCACGAAAGTCAGTGAAAACCATTTATTTATTTTGGTGGACTAGTGCCGCCGGCACTAGAGAGTAGCGGTAGTAATGTAGTACCTCTTTTGTAAGCGATTTGTTTTTTGTAAATATAAAAATGAAATATTTTTTAACTTTTCACAAGATTTCTTTATCTTTTATTTTTGTACATGCCAAAGAAAAGGGATGTGACGGAGGCAGTGTGCACTCTTCAGATCCTACAATAAAGACCAAATTCCATGTTAAAGGTTCTGTCACTTCATGGATGGATGAATGGTTTCTATTGGGTGGTAGCTTGTGCCACCTAGCCAAAAATATTGGTATGTTTTCGACACACATTTAGCTACATCTTCAAAAGGAGTGCCACATGCTCGGACCTCATACAACGGTGCCGGCATGTGCCGTAGAATAATGAAACACAATCGCAAAATGTAAGCAGTGAGGAGCCCAAGTTTCAGCCACAACTACAAGCAAGCCCCACAATTGACTACCTTTAATTACTGTGTTGACTTTATCATTTCAAAACTTCATTGAGACAGACATTATGTGCCAGAAATACTTCGAGGGTTGAATGGCTTCAGTGGCTACCTTATAAAATTGACACCGTATGGTACCAACTACTGCAAATATGCAGAAGAAACAAGACTCTATAAATGCAAGCATTGAGTATGCACATTTCTTGCCCATCAATCTGATGTCCCAACTGTACAAATCCAGTGTGTGCGGCAATGCCATATTCCAAGGCAATCACGTACCTCGTGCCTGCAGCTGCATTTGAGGAGAGCTAAAGGTAAGTTCTCATTTGGAATTTTACATTCACTGAAAAGGGAAATTGTAAAATGGGAAGTCACCTGTATCGGACTGCTGTTTAACCTCATTCAACCCTTCGCAATGCACGATTTTCAAAATTAGCGTTTTACGAGCATTTGATAGAACAGGTGTGCTACCCAAGGCCCAAGTAGCCAGTTCCTGTTGGCTCCATTAAGCTCCAGTGGCTTAGATTGATCTCCCCATACTTTCCTTTGTACTTGCAAATTATCTTGGGCCAGCCTAAAGAAAGAAAGGAGGAAAGAACCAAACACACTAGAACCACCATGTTGGCAGATGGCAGTAAGGATATCATGCATTGCAACAGAGGATGTGTTGGAAATATGGCCAACTGCCCACAAGAGAAAAAGTGGAGGTCGAAGGATATGATTTTAGCAAATGCACATCTCCTGTGCAAATTTGCTCTTTGAAGTGTTGCAGTTTCCAAACAACACTTTGATTGAGCCATCAATGAAGAATGAAGAAACTTCTTAAATATAGTCAAACCCATTTATGGACCGACACGCTGTTTACAAACAAGCCCGCATTTGCCCACACCCGGTGTGGGCACTGCACGTGCGCAGAAACCGAATTCGCGTGAAGTGAAGCTTCTGCGCATGTGCAGTGCCTTCAACAGTGCCACCGCAGCTGCGAGACATCAGGGCCGCATGTTGGTCTATAACGAACAGCAGTGAACGCTACGATCAGTTGTAAATAGCAAAAACTATTTACAACGAACTTCCACGATGCGTTCGTTGCAAGGCGAGAGCTTCTTTCTGTCCACGATGCGTTTGTTGTAAGGCGAGAGCTTCTCTTTCTGTCTCATCTCCTCGCTTCAGCCTTGTAACAATGCGCTGGAATTTTTAAAACTTTTTTTTGCATGCGTCTAGATTTTGTTTTTTTAGCTTATCTTTCCTTATGAATCGCATTGGGATGAAAAGATTTTTCTTTTTCTGAGCGTGCGTGCATGCAGCTTTTTTTTCCAGCTTTCTATCCTTCTGAATCGCTTCTTTTTGCTCAATTTTGTTCATAGCTCGAGCTTTTGGAATTTTCTTTCTTTCCTACCTTTTTTTCCAAGCGGGGGGGGGGGGGAGGAGGGACAGGCTAGAAGACGATTGTTTGCTTGTTTTTGGAAGCCTTCATGGGGGAAAAAGTTTGATATAGCCAATGTGTTGTTCGTTATAAAAAGTACTTTTCACATGAATTTCTATTTAAATTTTCCGCGAATTCGATATCGAAAATTCGCTGTACGTGGGTTCGTTCTAAATGGGTTTCACTGTATACAGCATGAAGGAGAGGCAAGGACATGAGCACAAAGGCGGGACTGGCTTCGTGTCCAATTCTGGTTAACCGACTAGCCCAACTTAATTTAGTGAGAAATGCACATGGAAATGTCACTTCCTTTCATTTACTTTCCTTCTTTTGTGCCTGAAGGATAAGATGGAGTTATCCAGATATGGTGTTTTCTTGGCCTTTAGTTGCCAAAGGGTCATAAAAAGTTGTACTTATCTTAGGTAATACCATAGCCTTCTCTACACTGACAAAGCCTGGCAGATCGTCACGTGACAAGGCCGCCAAAAGCGAAAAAGGTAGAGCGGCAGACAGGAGTCATGTAATAGGCGCCCTGCTGCGGCGAGACACCGAAACACACTTAACCCAAGCGATGGAATATCCGCTCGTGCTTCTCGTGTTCCTCGGGCTATCGCTTCGTTTCTCGTCTGGTTCGAAAACCATGTTTCGGGTCCTCGCCGCTGCAAAAGCTGTGCGCTGAATACCAGACTCCCCGAGAAATGCTCTGTGCTACCAGATCCTCACGCTCCAAATCTGCGACCGGGCTCTATGGCTCCGTCATCGAACTGCCAGGCTTTGCGAGTATAGAGGAGGCTATGGTAATACCCCACATATATAAGAATTAGTCTAAACTACTGATCAATGACCTATCTACTTGAATGGGGAAAGGGAAGCCAATGCTAATAGAAGACATTTTACTCTTAAATATTGTTGGCTTTATAAATGCAAACGTAGAGCACGATTTCACTAGTGCAAAACTAATAGTTACTTTGCTGCATGCAACATGTACATACACTAAACAAGATTCACCTCAGACGGGGCAATTTTTCCTCCAACTTGGGGTTACTGACAAACTGTTCCAGAGGTCCCCGAACTGCAGCACGAATTGCAGAGATTAGGTCTGGATCAAAACGGGCAAACAAATTGGACAACTCGGAGACATCTGAAGCGGCAGCAGCCAATCGGGGCACAATATCTTCACATGACCCCCACCCCCCATACTGGCGACGATAACTGAAAATAGGGATTGACTTCCTTCAGGTTTGGTATGAACTGTTTCAAGGCTAAAAGCTTACGAAAGCTGAAGTTTGTTTTTAAAATAGACAAAGAAAATTTTAATGATGATGACGACAAAACAATGAATTGAGTGGCTGTTTGCGAATACAGGAGGCCCATGTTGCAGGTGTTTCAACAGGGACAGGCAAAGTAGCTCCATCTGTGCCAGCCTAAGCAAAACTTGTTAGTGAGTTGGCAAAGTTTTTAGGGCACAAAAAAAAAAAAAAATGTTGAACCATGTTTCGCAAAAATGTTTTTAATTTAATTGACAATAGAAAAAAACACCGTGTAAAGCTACCAACATTCACTTCATGCCAGGCCTGGCTTGCGACTGTATCTGCTGCTCGAGCTTGTGAATGGCTTCGCGCTGTGCTTCCTGCTTTTTTTCGAGGTCCTGCATCAGCGTATCGTGCCTCTTCCTGTAAAGTTGAGTTGAAGCAAAAATGCACACTGTTACACCGCACTCGACGAGGACAAAAAGAAACTTACAACTCGTTGGCAATGTACTCAATACGTTTGTTGACATTCTGTTTCGCTTCTTCGAGACCCTGCTTCACAAGCACTGGACCGATTAGTTTGTAGACTCCAGCGTCCGCCTCCAAAAGATCCAGCTCCTTCAAAGCAAAGGAAGTGGTCAGTCAGTGCCGCTCTTTTGTGAACGTGGTCGTAGCACTACTACCTCTTTGACGACGTTGTTCTCGTTTAGCTGGGAGTCCAACTTCTGCCTCAGGTTATACGTTTTCTGGAAGTCTGAAATCGAGCGATTCAACACCGTCAGTTCGCTTTCGTAAGGCTAGGCACGAATTCCACGCCAACGCCTCCTCTAACTTTTTAGAGGAGGCGGGCGTTGCCCATGCATAACCACATAAGGCGCACGTGCAAGCCGGGTGGGTATACGCTTCTTTTCAGTAACCTGAGTGTCGCCGCAGGTTATCACTTAGTTCCGTACTGGCTATTTAAGGTTCACAATGATTATCCTCGGTATCAAAAGGACGCGTTCACCATCTATTAAAACATTTAATCGTGGAAAAAACGTGCGAATAGTAACAGAAATAGTGACCTGTCAGAGAGACGCGAATCTAAAAGGGCATGTTCGTTGCCCGCTAGAGAGAAAGACGATGCAAAATAAGCGCAATTCCGGTTCCCCATGCGTACTAAGTTTAAAATTAAATAGACGTATTGTTCAGAAATGGTGCCTTACCTTTCTGAAAAGCCCTGTATTTCTCGACCTCTTGTACTAATTCCTTATGAATAGCCTCCATTTTGAACGCACCGAAGAAGTGGTCGGTTGCACTGATCTAGATCAGTGGTCGGTTGCCAAAAGAAAAATGGCCGGAAAGAAAAAGCCCCAGATTTAGCGGCAACGCGGAATAAACCAGATATGTCTTGCAAAATACTTTGATACGTTCCTCTTTTCTAGGTTAAGGCAGTAAAACCTTCAAACTACTCATCATATGTTTTATCAAATAATTTATATAGTCTGAGACACGTGAAATCTGCGCTTTCCACCGACTGAGTTTTGTAGTTTTGTTTTCCAGCAAGTTTCGGCCGATCTTAGCCGTTTCAAAATGGCGTTTGGGCGGTATACGCACGCGATCGTGTGTCGCGTTCCCAATAGCATCAAACAGTGTTCCTCTGGCGTCATAGGCGACATAAACGTCCAGCTGGCAAGAAAAGAGCACGAGGAATTCTGCAAGGCCCTACGCAGCCTCGATCTCGACGTGATCGAACTCCCTGCGGACGAATCGACGCCCGACTGCGCGTTCGTCGACGACACCGCGATCATTTGCAACGGCGCAGCGCTCATCTGTAGACCGGCGAACGGTCAACGTCAGAAAGAGGTAGGTTCAATCGAGACCCAATCCAATCGAGAAGTGCAGAGCAAAGCTCGCGCGCGGCATCCGAGGTAATCGTGCGTACTGCGCATCTGTTGAATCCTAGCTCGCGCGCGTTCCTATGCGTAAGACGACACACCCATTCATCAAATCTGCTAGAGCAGAGGCGTGGGTGGGGCAAGGCACGTTTTGCACGCTCTCCTTATTTTCGCCTATGTAGATGCGCGCGACATCGTGCCGTAGGTGCGCTATTCCAGACCGATCCGTACACGCGCATCCAACGTTCGCGTCAGCTTCCCCGGTGCTCAGAAGCCGTTCAGCTTTATCGCTCGAGTGGAAACGTTATCTCGCTGGAGAAGGTAACGTAAACATTCCTCGAATATCGCAACGTTCCTAGCCCCCCGCAAACGCGTCGAACGAACAATGTGGAATATAACAAGTAGAATAAATACAGGGGCGGGGGCGCAACCGATTGACCGCGCAGGGGAAAGGGATCCAAAGAAGACGCCGACCGCAAATTAATCTCTATTTACGAGGGAGGGGGGAATGACTAAAGTGATGCCTCAGAGCAGTCATTTCACGACGCACATATCGGTGAAGCGGAGCGGCTGGCGGCCGATACGGCGGGGCCACTTGAGGGCCGCCAATTGAATGTGTAACACGAATGGGAGCAGCTGTGACAGCCCCACTTCACTTGTATTCACGGGCCACTTGGCCTGGAGAACGGCGTGCTGGGAGACATTTCTTTTTTCATTTTGATTCTTGACTCCAGAAAGTTCTACATCACTGAGTTGCGCTGCTGCTCTTTTGTTGCGATTTTGTGTGTGACACACTTCACAGTCTTGCATATTTTATATATTGCTACATATCGATATTGGGCCTGTATAAACCTAATCCGGATTTCACTAGTCCCAGCCAAGACAAGTGTTTGTCAGCATCATATAAGTCATACCCATGTAAATTGTTAATCTAAAAAAAAAAAAGTTTTCTTTACAAGACAATTTGCAACTTTCACGGCCTATAGACCCTTTCTTCAAGGGCGCCGCCATCTTGAATAGACCGATCTCCAACCAGTTTGACTACGTCGCCACTGCCGCAATGCATCAAGAAAGCTTTAGTCTTTCTGCACGTGCTACAGCCTCGCTGGAGCTCTGCGCGTGTGGAGCTTGAGGCAGCACGGGCCGTCTTGTGCACTGCTGCCTGCCTCCTGCGAACTAAAGTTATGGCGGCGTCACGCATGCGCCGAACGCTTGGTGAGATCGGTCTATTGTCGTCACTTCCAGTATGGGCGAAAACATTCTTTTGCTGTCACCACGTCAATAGAATGCATTTAGGAGAAAAGCGTAACCGTCACCCCTTCTCGTTTTCTCTCCCCTCTATTTTTTTTAGTACTTGCAAGTTGAAACGTTTTAATATTTTTTCGTCGCCCATACCGGATATGCCTACTTGGCGGTCGGGGGCGAGAGTAAGCGGAAAAGGTCTATAGGGGGCGCACTGCTACCTATCAAAATGGCTGTCATCTGGATGATTGTCTTAGAACAGCAGTACGAGGCTGGGTGTGCGACACATGAGTAATTCTAGCTTTGCAATATAGGAGCAGTATTAGAGCCTTGGTTTATTTAGGAGCTGGCAAGCACCTTTATTGTAAAGTCGATCATCCAGGAGCTAGGGAGCGCGATTCTTACACTGCGGTACCACCATTGCTGAAAGTTACAAATGTTCCGCTTTTTCGTTTTTTGTTTTTGTTTTGTTTTGTTTTTTCGAAATTTGGCATACTTTTTCTGTGTTTATTTTAAAATTCTTTTTTTTTTGTGTATATTTATTCCCAAAAAAGTTCACCGTTTTTTTTTTTTTTTTTGGTGAATATGAAAGAAACACTATCGGTCACCGGATCAGATGATCCTTGTAGCTGTGATATTTGTGATCACTCTAAGAATAACGACACATACACATACGTGGTCTTCGCTACAACTTCCGTCAGGACACACCTCAAAATCGCGGAATTCGCGGGCATTATCTTCAGCACGCTTTTTTTTCCTTCTCATTTTGACGACGTGACCGTCTGAGGTGATGACCATACAAAACCATGCAAAAAGGAAAAAAAAAAAACCATTCATTGTATTTGTTTTTAACCACAGAGAAGTTTGGGAGGGGGTGTTAAGAAAGGTATTGACGGCTTGTCTCGAGCTCCTCTGAAGTGCATGAAGCGAAAAACCTTATTAGCCCCGAGAGCGAACACAAGCGTCGCTGCGGTCGCCGCGCCCTGATTGGGTGAGGTGTACCGTGACGTCAGGGCGAGTACCCCGCTCCGCGATCTCGCATCGGGTCGCTTCCCAGCGCCGGTTTCCTGGTTTGGCGTTGTGTGCCGCAAGCTCTTCGAGGAGCCGGACTTCGTTTACCCGGTGTACAAGACGTTGAGTTAGGCCGATATTAACGTGCTTCCGTACATCTTATAAGCCTGCTTGTCCCTTTTACCTTTAAAATTGGGTTACAAATCCCGAAAACTATCGGCGGAGGCAATTACGCCGATGAACCTCCCCGTCCGTCCACACGACGCAAGGCAATCTTGAGAGGGGTCGGTGAAGCGGTGACGCAAGTGTTTCAGACGCTGGAATTCTGTTTCTTGCATGTTCATGATTTAGGACGATATTACATCCCGCTTTCAAGGCATCTGAAGCGGCCTTTATATCATGAGCCTTTCGGTGGTCGGCAAATTAGCTCGCGACCCCGACTCTGCGCTTCCACTCTGCATGCGCTGGTTTGCAGATGTTTTAAAGGCCCTGCGTCTGATGATCTTTGAAGTGCTCATGAAACAGGGTTGTTTTACATAAATGTAGCTTCTTCCTGAATTAATTATATAGTTTATACGCTTATGCAGGCATATTTCTTAGAGGATTCACAATTACTGGAAATTAGTTTGTATGGTAGCAGCAAAAACGGCCGAATTTCCCCCAGTTGGCTCTATGATATGCAGTAAACTGCCCAAAATATGCACAGCAATAGTGCCGTAATTTGGGATGTTTATACTTTTTCCTGACATTCTTTATTCCAGCCTTTGGTATTCGGAAAATGCACCGTTTAGTCTGAATTGTCATTTCCATTTAAGAGTCACTGCCGCAGGTCCCCAAAAGCTTCCTCAGCCTCCAAACTCCCTGCAACTGGACTCTCTGACAACAGAGGAAAACAGGAGTAAAAGCAAGCATTCGAACGTCTGTCCAGTGGTAGATGCAGCACTAGTAGCAGAAAATGTGGAACCTGTGAAGGGCGACAGTCTGCGTGAGAAAAGCTTCTGGTACTTTAGCTTCAGGACAATTGGATTTAAGTAAAATCTAAATTTTAGGGCTTAATGGACTAATAACGAGCTAGACACCCTAACTTATGTTTGTTATATATTACTTGAAAATTGATATAAACAAGTCCACAGATACCATCCGTGTAGTTCATTGAAATACTATCCGAATCCAGCAAAGGTCAAGTGCGAGCAATGTATATAATAAATGTTCCTTGTGTGTTTTTTTACTTTGCCCCTGCACTTGGGCTGTCTTACTTGTGATTCTCTCCCCATGGCCGAGACTGTATTTAGCACGTTGCTCGATCAGCATGCAGCTTTTCTGCTTCGGCGATCTTGTTTAAAGACAGAGATACAAAAAAAAAAAATAGTATACATAACCTGCCAATTCATTCGGACCATCAGCAGCGTTTATTGTGCGAGATGTAAATCTGTAGTGATGCCCCTGCAATTGTGGCCATATTTCTTTATTTTCACATACCAGCTGTGGTTCATGCGTTGCCTGGCCTGTCAGCCATGCTTAAAATGCTCGTTGAAGTTTCGCCTGTAGCTACAGGCAATACCTCAATAAAGGCGTATATAAAAATTTACACTTCCTACGAAAAGCACGCCAAAAAAAAAATTAAATAGAAACGACCGCGCCGACAGCTAGCGTCGTCACAGCGTCCACAGGGCGAGCGGGACGAGTCGGGGAAAAATTCTCTCCTCGCCGTGACGTCACCGCGGTTCGCCGTAAGGGGGCGCCAGGCGAACTTCTCGGGGCACCCACATCCAAACTTTTTTTGGGGGACCGGGAACTTGACACACTGAGCCCGATCACAGAAAGGACACAGATGTCCCGCGAAGGCCAATCCAAAACCTCTTTTGTTGCATGTTGAACCTTGGAAGAGGGCAATCATGAAGACGTCACACGATGTCGAACCTTGCAAAGCCCTCTCTCTCTCTCTCTCTCCCCCCCCCCCCCCCTCTCCCCCACCCACCTCGACGCGGCCTTAAAAGACTGACCTTTTTCGGTTAAATCCGAATTTTTAGAAATGGACTAGACATACTTTTATCAGTTTTTATCGGTTTAAACAGAAAATGCCAAACCTACAAACTGACCTTTTTCAATTAAAACCGAATTTCCGAAAATGGATTTGGCATACTTTTATCGGTTTAAACCGAAAACTCTGAACCCTAGTTATAATCCACAAAAAAAACATGCACTTTTCACAATTTCATATTAAAAATAAATTAAACTATACCTTGTCTCATTTGTTAAGGTGTGCATGGTTTTGTTTTTCGGTCCAATGATACAAACCATTTCAAAATTCACTTATGTGTCGACGCAAATGAAAGGCAAGGCAGACTGTTACTTGGTCGCAGAGTTGATAATAAGGGATATTCAAGACTGACAGTGGCTCTTGTTCATTACGTGCGAATTCCAGGTGGACACCATTCGGGCGACCATCAAGAAGGAACTGGAAATCCGTGTGATCGACATCCGAGACCCAAAGGGCATCATCGAAGGAGGCAATGTTCTCTTCACAGGTGCGTAATCATCCACATTGTTCATTGGGGAACATAAACGAGTACACATATGGCCTGTCTGGGACTGCAGTATGCAGAAGTCTAAGTCTATGAAATGATGCCTAAAAAAAAAGGAACAAAATATTTTTTTTTTTTTTTTATTGTATTGGCACATTAGTCTCAAATAAAAATAGGTATCCTGCATATCCGCAGATATCCACAGTCCATGGCGGATGCAGGTAAAAATGAACCAGATTTGGCTGATTGCGGATCGGATGCAGATGCCAAGGGCTGCGGATGCGGATAGGATGCGCATGCAAGGCGTGATTTATAAGATTCCTTGTGCAGAGTTCCTAGCCACATACATAGGCAAGATGAAGAATTTCAATGAGAGAATCCGCCAGCGCAAAGACGGTGTGGGCTAGTTTGACCCGGTCGCCGAGCACTGTGACGTTAGAGAGCGCCGGACTGCTTTCGACAACATCACCATAATCGACGAAGAGACTAACCTTCGGCATAGGCTTTTCATTGAATCCTGGCACATTCGAACGATGCCAGGAAACATAAATGGGCGCCTTGGACCTTCGCCAACCCTATGTCAAGGGGCTTTACCATACCACTTAAAGAAGATAGAAAAATACTGCTCCTCAACGGCCATTGCCATAGTCGCCCCTGAAGAAGAGCCGAGCAGGCCTAGAAAGGTAGGGTCCCTGTTTTAAGGATTTGGTTGGCTGTCATCTTTTATTTATTGTTTTCCCAACCAGAGAGATTTGCCTCAAATGTTTACTTTCACATGCGTATCAGTACTTCGCTGTGGTGAGTGACCGCCTTTCCTCCCCCACTTTTTTATTGTGTGACCTAAATAAAATTACACAAGGTTATTAGTCTGTCCTTTATTAATTTTCATGGCTTAAGATAAATGTTAAAGCAAAAAAAAGGTCCCTCTCTTTTGAGCTCATCTTCTGGGCACAGTGTCGCAGACTCGCAGGATGATCTCATAACTGTCATCATCATTCCAGCGATGTGAAGTGTCTCCTAGAACGATGATCTCTTGTAATATAAATACAATAAAACAGAATACAATAGAACTCCTTTACCGTGTTCTGGCTCAAAGAATTCTTTGTACAACGATAAGCAAACTGCTTATATGGTACCATCCAGATGCATTTTCTTTTTTTATTCATGCTTGACTGCATTATGTAACATGGATGCGCGAATTGCGGGTCAGATGCAGTTCTGAATTTAGCGAATGCGGTTTGGATACAGATACAAAGTCTCAAACTCTGCGGATGCAGATCAGATGCAGATAATTATACTGTTATCTGTGCAGGGCTCTAAAGATACATGTACCATAAAGGCAACTGGTTTTCGACCTGAATTTTTAGCAACTACTTTTTTTGTTGAGAACAGGTAAATATGCAACAGTTTTAGCCTTTAGATCTTTCTTTTACCATACTTCAATACATGAAACCGAGAATGTAGGTGATATACCAGAGCAAGCACAATGCAGTCCTGCTATGCATGCACACTTGTGTAACTAGAGCATCAGTCAAGAAGGCAACATGTTTGTGCTTGTTGCATCAGCTACACTTACTGTTATAGTGAAACAGTATAAGAAAACAATAACATTTGAAGTCAATCGAAGCAACATTAAACAAGGTGCCAAGGATGAATGAAAGCAATGTTCCTCTTGTGCATTACTGTTGCAGGCCGGGAGTTTTTTGTGGGGATCTCTGCAAGGACCAACGAGGCAGGGGCTCGTGCTTTGGCAGCCGCGTTCCCAGAGTTCCCCGTGACCCCCATCAAGCTGCCCAAGCGGAGCCACCTCAAGAGCCTCCTGTCGATGGCAGGCCCAGACATCATCTGCCTCTCTGAGAGTTTGGAGGCACTGGCTGTGAAGAAGGTGAGGTTAGCAGTGTGCAGTAAACTTCGAAGGATGTATAGAGGCACAAGAAATGGGCAAGGAACAGAGCCTGACACAACCTATGGATTTAGCTAAAATGATAAGTGAAAAGTTGGGTGGCATGGAACTCGTAACAATGCTCGAAACAGCATCTGTCGCCGTTCCCTAAAACGAGTCCGAGCCATCCTTTGTTAACACAGAATGCCCGTCATGGCGCAAAAGGTGCACCAAGTTCATCTGTGAAATATATTAACCTTAAAGCAGCATGCAATGAATTCTGCGTTACAATTGTCTTTACTGTTATAATCCTTGAATGGCACAGTTTTTTTTTTTTTTTATGTCCTAGAATGGTGCAGTTTTTTGTTTTCTTTTATGTTCTGTATTTACGTGGTTTAATTGCAGATTGTGTATTCACAGAGTGGGTCCCTACAGATTACTGGCTTCCTTTTATTTATTCTGCAGAAACAAATCGCTACATAAAGTGCACCCTTCAAATATGAGTTGCATACCATATTAATTTACAATTAATTTTTTTTTCTACCGCTACCGGTCACTAGGAGGTTGGCACATACTACGTCACCCTTCTCGACAGACTCCCCCAGGGAACCGAATTCCCTTACACCACCTGTGTGGCAGCGTAGCAGGCTCTCCAGCCCTGCTGGAACCACTTTTTGGCAGTGCCTCACACCCATGCCTGGACAGCTGCTTCCATTTTATCAAGCACTGAAATTGGCTTCCTTGCAGGGTTTCTTTTATCGTGCCCCCCAACAGATGATATTACCATTTGGGGACCGGTCAGGCCAAACCCATGCACGACTAAACATCTAACTGACCCTATGGCGTGTCAGAAAGACAGCCGAAGCCCATTAGGCGCCTCTCAGTCACTGCGTCATGTGAATTCAGATGAGGCCATGGTAACCGGTACCTGATCGAATTCAGCCATCTTTTTGGCACGCATCGTGCAACCAGTGGGACGTTTGGCCGCCCATGGGTATGGCCTGGCCATAGTGGTGCGAAACTATGGATAGCACTATCGATACTATTAATAGTGGAAGCCAAGTCCGACTATCAATAGTACTATCGATAGTCGACTATCATAAAACTGTCAATAGTATACTATCAAAAGCATACTTTCGATTGTTAACTCGTGGAACGATCAATAGTATGTACTATCGATAGTCGACTATTGTGACGCTATCGATAGCCGACTATAGTCAAGCTATCAATCGTATTTTATTAGGTGACGAAGAACCTCAGAAAATGTGAAGCTCAGTGAAAAACGCAAGTGCAATTAGGAACTTCTGGATAATTATTGAGGAGCAATCTAAAACCTATTGAAAAACTATCAGAAAATGGTAGAAATTATTTCTAGAAATTATTGACAATCAACAATTGAGAGGATATCAATTTTATACTATCGAAAAACTGAATAAGAGATGTCAATAGTGAAATATTGATATTTTTTCTATAGGTTGTTATAGTTTTTCTGTTGATTTTAGATTGCTTTTTGGGAGTTTCCACTTTTTTTTATATAGATTGATTGAAAGCATTCAATCAGAAAAAGGAAAATACCTTTGCCTTTCATGACAAGTAAATGCATTGCATCATATGAGGTCATGAGTAATGATTTATCCGGATGAAAAGATAATTGTGGTGAGTTTTTTCGACCAAGCAGGTTGCAAGCAAGAAAGAAAACATATTGCTTTCCAAATTCTCTTTTTTTATTTTTTTTACTGAAATTACGTTTATTGCTAACAATATCGTCACTTGGATCACGGCAAGCTTTTAATTTCATCTTTTATTTTTGATTCAGTTAATGTTTGTTTCCAAATCTACTAATTTAATTGAATAATGAAAAGACAAAAAAGCATCTGTAATTAACCATGTTGACTTGGTATAAGCTTATAATCTGGTAATGCTCATTTTAAAGTATCCAGAACCAATCCTTTTTTTTGCATTTATTGACTAAAAATTATTTCTTTATTCATTACATGACAAGTCCTATATTTTGAAGTTGTATTTTATACGAAACGGCGAATCATTTACCAGCCACCGCTATAAAAATCTGCCAAAAGAGAACAAAACAAAAAGTGACAACATATCAGGGAGAGCAAGCTTAACCGTTTTTTGTCTAAAAGCTATACGTTCCGCGCAGGAACTATAGGGGGTGCTTTGAAAAACGCGCGTAGTGCCACTGACGGAGGAGCTGGCATTCGACGGTGAGACGCGTTCATCTGCCAGCGGCGCCTTTTCGCGTGCGAAGCTGTGGCGGCGGAAGTCCTGGGCCAGTACGACCGTTTTTCTAGTGTAACTAACATGAAACAATCACTAGGATGGGCGTCATTAAATCTTCGGCGAAAAAATTTACAGTTGAAATTTTTATACAACATTTATCATGAAGCTACTGGTATTAATAGCTCATCATACCTCTTAAAACCAAATTATTTTTCCAAACGTAATGATCATGTGCACAAGATACGCGAATACTGTACTAGGACAGAGCTCTGCAAATGCTGATATGTTCTTTTCGTTATTATTCACCCCCTGCAATAATGCCTTCTAGGCAATGCAGGAGTTCTATGAATGAAGAATAAAGAGGGAACTTTTGTTTTTTGAGCTGACTCATTGAGTGTGACGTTGCATGAGGGCTGGGGAAGACCTATAAAAGGTAATCTAGCTGTTCTCCGCTTTTCATATATCCCAGGAAATAAATTTAACACTATCAATCACACTGCATGCTGTCTTCCGACAAGAACCATTGCTGGCTTCTACAAAGTGCAACCACTGCACTTTTTCACAAAATCTACGAGGTATTGATATTGTGAATTTAATCTACCACGAAGCCATTGAGCTCAGGGTGGAGAAAAGAGTCAAGATGATTTATATGGGGATCTAAGCCTCACCAATCTCACTATGATTATTTCCCGCAAGAATGCTTTTCTCACAAGAATCGTTTCCCGCAAAACTTATACTTGAAATAGGTTTTTATTATTGTTTGTCTGTAATTTGATGATGTACATGTAAATTTATTTTGCTTTTAATAAAATAAAAACATCAAGCAAAGAAAGAATGTATAACAGACTCAACACGAGCAAAATGTGGTGCTTTCCTACGCTAATCGGGGAGGTGAGCTGTTTCTATCTTTCACTTCTTTCGTCAGTTATGTGGCATCTATATGCAAGCATATAAGAATGCGAAGGGAACAAACAAACAACTTGTATGCATGCGGGCACACACAAGCAAACCGACAAAGAGAGTGGCTGTGTAAGACAGGCACATACATATCTAATTGTACATGTAAGGTTGATCTTACATTGGTTCGAATATATAGGTTTTGTCTTACACGGGCTTGCTGCTTCTTTATGAGATTATGCCCCCGCCTTGCGCACTTCAATACCAAAAGCAAAAGTTACTGTCATAAACAACTCGCGAACTGTGCTCGAGCTCAAAAACTATAATTTTGTGTCGTTAATTTTTTTTTTTTTTTTTTTGTGTGTTTTTGGTTGTTTTTTTTTTTAGTATTTTGTTTGGAACGGGTCTCAGAAAAAATGGCAACAGCAAAACAATCTGCACAAAACTAAAAAAAAAAAGAATAGAAAAAAAAAAAAGATTGGCAGGAAGGAGGGAGTTGTTTTTTCTGGGTTTTCATGGAGGTCTTACGTATTACAGCAAATAAAATAAAAAATAAACAAACAAATCAAGTTTATTTTGTTTTAGTATGATTTGGTCTATATCAAGAAAACAGTTTTGAAGTAAACTGCAATTTACAATGTAAATAACTTTACAGTGAATTTTTCTTTTCCGCTGTTTTTAGTGATTGTGCAAATGAAAAACTTAATTTCACGTGTTTAAAAAAACTAATAAAAAACGAATGACTTTCTTTTTTTTTTTTAGGTAAGCCGACTCGATTCAGTGGCAGATATGATCGGGAGACCAAATTTCTTACGTCGTACTGCACAGGTCCATCTTTGTCGCTGCCCCACAAAACAATGAGTTGAAAAACTATGATACTTTGTCCCCACAAGACACAACGCATAACTATTAGAGCGCTTAACGAGGCAGCTGTTCATACTGTCAACCCAGCGCAATTGCACTGCTCCGACTTCAATTCGTACCAATGTGTGGGGCGTGGTTTCGTTTCACTGGTGTTCTCACAGCCTACCTTCGATAACAGCTGCGTGGCGGTGCACCGGTCGCGTCGCACGGAGTGTATACTCCAAGCCTCTAGTTGTGTGCAGTGCAGGCAAGGGCAACGCCAGACAAAGAGAGAAAGGGCTAGCACTAGGAAAGTGGGACGGGTAGGAAGGACAATGGGAGGGCGAGGGGAGAAAGGGAGAGCACTAAAATGTTAGAGGGGAGAGGAGGTTACTCTTCTCCCCAGCCTTTCTAGTACTTGCCCTTTCTTCCCTTGCCTGGCGTTGCCTTCGCCTGTAAATAAAATAATCCTCAGCAGAGTGCTCATTTTCACCTCTCAGTGTTGAAGACTAAAGGAAGTAATATGGGAAATTTAAATAATAAAAGAAACAAAAGAATGAAACAAACTAGGCAAAAACCCTGATGCTAAATATCTTCAACAAGTGTTTTCCCTAGCCCCAAGACAAAACAAAACAAAAAAAGTATGGAATATAGTATTTATTTTTAGAAATGAATGTCTACCAATGTGCGAAGCCTGATATTTGGACTCGGAAGAATATACAAAATATGTGCACAGTAAAAGTAGCAAATTGCCATTTCTGTATTGTCTCTAAATTTAAATGAGGTTACAACTTTATGTTTAGTTTCCTTTCTATTTCATGTCTTGGCCTTGTCTGCCCGCACATATCCATCGTCATCTCCTTTCTGGAATTCGCTTTAACTTTCATAACACTCAATAGTTTTCTGAGAGTTGACTTTCAATAGTTGTTTATTGATATTACATAGATAGTCAACTATTGATAGTCCACTATTGACTATCGACACTATAGTGATTCAAGGCTATTAAAAAATTGACATTGACTGAATCAATAGTTTTTCCAAAACTATCGATACTAAGATAGTCAAATTTTTATTTGGCTGGGCCCCCAGTGGTTATTAGACGATGGATGGCATGGAAAAACCCCCCTAAGGACGCCTTTTTACGGCCGTTAATACGCTGGAAGCGGCTGTCCAGGCGTGGTTGTGAGGCACTCCTAAAAAGTGGTTTTAGCAAGGTATGAAGAGGCTGCCCCACAGGCATACAAGGGCATTTGGCTCCAGGGGGAGTCTGTCGAGAAGGTGGACATAAGCGCTCACCTCTAAATGACCATTATCTGCAGCAAAAAGTAAATAAACAAAATAAAAACCTTTCATACTGATCACTGTTCTCTTGCCGTGTAAGACACTGCATATCACTTTGCAGCAAATTGAGCGGGAGGCGACGTTCCAGTACCAGACGGTGACCGTTCCAGATGAGAATGCCACTGGCTGCCTCTACATCAATGGCCGTCTGCTGCACCGGCAGGAGTTCCCTGAGAGTAACCAGGCAAGGAGCAGCTTTGACTACTGTTTTCATTCGCTTACTCAGTGTTACGACAGAACAAGTGAAATCCCTCAAGAAACCGAGTGCAGATGCAGTGGGAGCTATTTGCTCCAAATCATACTGTGATAGCTTTCAACAAGCTCTTGTTAGAACTTCAAAACCATACATTTGGCTAAGAGGCATAACTTTTGTGGGACTTTTCGGTATCAGCAAATCTTTGGGATGAGTACTAAGGAAACTTGGAGGAATGCAGGGGAGATAGAAGAGATTGAGCCTGGGCACGAGCTAAAGGTGTCCATGTTTCACAGTTCCAACTAAACTGTCAACTGTTGTGAGGTATTGTTAAGGGTTTCTTTCTGGGCACTTCTTTCCACCTTCTGCCAAGCTTTCTTAATTTATTTATTTAGAGATACCGTTCACCTATATGATATATGGAGAGTAAAATCATACAAAACTATAAAAGGGATTAGACCAAACGTCCACACATAAATCATATAGAAATGAAAAGTTGTCATCTTGTTGGCAAAGTCAAACAAGAAGCCATAAAGCACTCATGAGGCCTCTTGTCTGTTCTTGCTTTAAAGTTTTGAGGCAACCCTATTTGTAATAGGCAATTATTATGGTAAATACCATAGGGAAATATATTTAAGGGGGACACCCCCTGGGAGGGTCAACTTTTGAACCTTTGGCTTAAAATTAAAGAAATTTACAGGGTAGGCTGGTGGTCATGCTAGAGGGTGCATAACAAAATTTTAGGTCTGTCGGTTAAGTGGAAAGGAAATTAGGGCAGGTTCTATCAGCAACGCCCCTACACTGTTTAGTTAATCTATCGTCAGAAAACTATCACAATATTAAAGGTTTTTATTCGCTAGATATGTAGCAGAATGCCTAGGAGGTGCGCCTATGAAAAGGTTTTTGTAAAAAGTAATTAATTTCTATCAAATTTCTCTTCTGCGAAATTGGTCAACTTTTTGGTCTTCTGTGTCTCCGACAAAATGTCAACATTTTTTATAAAAGACATCCGTAAAGTGACAAACAAACTCCATAGGCGCATTCCTTATTAAATTTCAGTCAGGAAAAGTGAAGAACGAGCCTTGCCTGTATTTCCATTCTCAAACGATAGATTGACTAAAATGGAATTTATACAAAAAAAGTGGAACGGAGAAAAATGTGTTCATAGTGCTCCAAACCCTACCTTTCCTTTAGCTTTGGTGGACAGAAAATAATTTATAAAAAATTAACTATGCAGTGTAAGCTAGTGAAAAATTCTGGGAATAGTCTCTGGATGTAGATGGATGTAAATATGTAATTTTTCAAAATTAATGTTTTTTGAAGAATCTTTTTTTCTCCGGGTAGTGTCCCCCCTTAAATCTATTTTATACAAGACTCGCCATGCGTGATCATTGGGCCAAATTAGACTAGTCGTTTTGGAGTGCTGGCCTAGACCTCTAATGCAGAAGGCATTAAAGGTGGGCAGTTCTTTTTTCTGGAACACACCGAGCAAACCAGCTACCTGTGTGCAGTCACCAGACCTTGCAGGCTTTTTTATCCTGCCACTTCTGGCAGAAAGAACATGTGGGGGACCACAAGGAACAGACTTCTGGTATGCTTTGTTGATTTTGGGGGACTAGCTTATGCACTCTGTGGGTCGCCCCCCAATATTGGTCCGGCCCCCCAATCCAATCCCTTACTGCCCAAGGGAATGTGAAGTAATCTCACAGTGCGCTCCTAAACAACCCGTGGAATTGGCCACTAGTCGACTTGTATCAAACTGCAATGACCTGTCTTTAATTGGAGTGTCATCACCCAAAACATTATGTAATTAGGGTAATAATGCAGTTCAGTCGGTCGTATGGACATACCTACGTCCAGTGATTCACTTTTGTTGCACTAATTGAAACCCGAGTTAATAAAACTCTAGAAACTTCATAGCTCCATGAAGTAGATTGTGCAGACCGAGGCTATTAGGCACCCACACTGCAGTGTCATGTGGCACTAACATGCTGCACAAAAGAGTGAATACATCCCTTCAGTGCCTTCTGAGCAGATAAAATATAAAATGTAAAGTAATTTTGTGGTTTACATTTACTATTACCAGTGTTGTATGTTGACAACAAGGATAAAACTGTTGTTGTTTAGGCTGATAATATTTGAATTAGGCTTGCAAGTCCTGCAATTCAGGTTTTTGTATGTACCTTGACACAATTTGAACATCTCTGTCAGCCTTAGTACTAGTACACAAAAATTAAAAATGCATTTTGGGAAGCGGACAAGCGGATTCTTTTGCGACATACAGAAGTGACTTTCGAAGCATTCATGCCCAATATCTTATGTTGTTGATCTGACAGGAGTTTGCGGAGAAGATCGACTTTGACCGAATTTCTCTGACTGCCTCGGAACTGTGCAAAGCCAGCAACGGCCTTCCAAGCCTGGCGCTGCTGATTCGCAAGAGCCGGTATTTCTGAGCCCCCCCGCTGCTGTCTTGGGGGAAATGAAAGCAATGGCAGACTTTTTTAAAGATTTTTGTTTGATTATTATTTTATCACACTTGCCTCTGGAACAGGTCTAGGCTTTTGAAGAAGAGCTCTTTTCATGAGGAGCCATCCCCAAGCTTGTTTTGGAACCATGGGGTCTATGTCTGGAAATAACAAGATTATTCTAAGTATATGTATTTAACTCAGTGTTTATCCTTGAGCTGCTCAAGAAGAATTCTACAGGAATATGGCAGCTCAAAATGCACTTTCTCTGCCCCTTTCTTCAACATGATGAAATGAAACTCACCAATGGAGTTTGTTATCTTGGTGCAGCTTAAATTTGTTTTACAGTTCTGTATGGAACTTACTTGTTTGTATCTTCTGAGCATTTTACTGTCTGCTCAACTCCCTACTTTTGCAGCCTATGTTGACCTTGAGAGATATCAGGTTTTATACCGGAACCCGGTCCGGGTATTGATCCCAGGATCAGTATTCGGTCCCAGGTTCGATACTCTGGCATGCAGATTTTTTTCAGTGGCCACTGCTTGCCTAGAGGGTGCGAGTTGCACTTAGTTTCAGGTGGAAGTAAATTTATTCTTACCCTTCCAGAAAGTTTGGTATGAAAATCGGTAGAGCAACCTGAGATCTTCAGAATTTTGATATTTTGTAGCACCACTTTAGCTACCCCATGCAGGTGTTCAAATGGTGAATGGAAATTTATTGCTCCGACGAACTTGATGTTCCAATACATTTTGCAATAGTGTAATTATAAAAGAGGGCGAGCCATTTTAATCTACCATAGACCCACTGCTGCCAGTACCGTCCCTTCATTTTTTAAACATGAATATGACAGAAGACACTGCTCATCCCATATTATGTTGGGATCTTAGATCAACACTTGTTCAACATTTTTGAGTAGTAGTGTCATCTCAGTAAATGACACAAGTCAGTTTTTTTTTTTTTTATGTTGTAATGCTTCACAATGAATTAGGTAGGCTGTAAACATACGTTTTTGAATTTTCTAAATTTATGGCTGCCCAAGTCAGTGCCCAGCTACAGAAATTCCCATTCTCTTGGACCAAAAAGACAGCACTCTGGGTTGCCGAGGCTTTTTCTCTTTTGACAAAAACATAAAATTAAAAAAAAAGAAAAACTATTTATTCAACTTTTTTTTCTTGTTTTTTTAACATGAAACACTGCAGCAGTCTAGGGCACTTTTGCTATACTTCGGGTTTTAACCCAGGTGTAATTTCAGATGCCGAAATTTTAAAATCATGTCCCCTATCTATATTCATCTTAAAGAAAAAAATTGCAATGTAAGCTAAAATGGCTCACTCCTAGACTAAAATGGCTCACCCCTTTGAATAGGCCAGCTTTAAAGCCGAACCAGAAAGGGAACATTTTCGACATATTTATGAGCATTTCAGCGGACAGAACCTCGACATGTAGCGAGCGTCGGGACGAGCACTTCCTTTACGCCTCGAGGTAGCATTTTCAGCAATCCGACCGAGACCGACCTCGGTGCTTCGTTTTATTTCGGCGTAGCGTATCTGGAAGCTTACGGCGTGGTGCCAGCCAATCAGCTCACGAGTTGACTGCCGGAACTTGCCCGAGGATCGGTTTGCATAGCGTTTTGGCTGGCTGGCTGGCTGGCTTGACTCGGCCACCGAAGTGGCCACTCGCTTGTCGCATTTGGCGGTAAACTGCACAAAATCACTATATCTCTTTCGAACGAGCGACAAACGACCGAGACAGAAGAAACAACCATCTAGGCGGTGGGCTACGTAAAAAATTTTTTAAACGAAGGGTTTTGAGCAGAGATTGCGGCCATCCTCCTGCGGGGGTGTGTTCGCAACTTGACGATTGCAAGGTACATTCTTGAGACAAGCGCGTGCCAAATTTAAATTAACTGTCATCAAAGGTAGCCCTTGCTGCAAGCATGCCAGAACTGGCGGTGGAGAAAATTGGCTCCACTTTAATGAATTTACATCGTAAATACCTGGACGACTCACTGCGAGTTTCCGTCACTGAGGGTCACACCAACTGCAATGGTTCGAGACGTGAGCATGTAGATCTTGTAACCTTTGTTGGAGCCTAGACCTGTTCCCTGTCTTCCTATTTCATTGTTTTGTAGTGAGCTTTTAGTTTTTGCAGAGAATTTTATCTGTGCTTTAGAGGTTGTGACTAGGTTTGTGTTTTAATGCTTAAACTACTCTCTTCATTTTAAAGTTAGGATTGTATATGCCAGGCTTTCCTTGCAGTACACACACAATGCTTGGGGCCACTTCTGGCTTGTAAAGTTTCATCAAGTTTTTTTTTCTTTTCTTGTATTCATGTAGTCACTGAGGAGTGAAGGATTGAAGAACAGTGGTGGGGTTTTAAGTTATTTACGTTGAATAAAGAAAAGTGTATTCAGTGAGGTTATAGTAAGCTATGCCTTCTTGTGCTGCTACAAGCCTAATGTGCACAGTCTGCTTTCTTGGTTGAGGGATGCAGAGCAAGATGACTGCACACATCAGTGTAATAATAGCAGTTTTGTTTTGTTGAGTCAGCTGCCGGCTGGCTCCCTGCTTCAGGTTGTAAAGAGCATCTTATTTTTATTAGACCCGACTTTGCGTTTGGGTTACGCAAGTTTCGTCATTGCTGTTCTTGGCTTGACAAATTCTTTCAGCAAATGTATTGCTGCAATGAACCACATTCATTTTACAGTGCTTATGTCATAGTTGTGTCAAAATGTAGACGGGCTGCAACTGATGTAGCGACGTAACAAGAATGTTCTTTAGCATCTCGTGTGTCAATGGGGTTGTATTTTGCGTTGCCCTTTTCTGTTGTTTGGACCGTGTCCTTGCTGGCGTACCTGTTAACTGTTTACTTACCCCGCAGACATTCCAACGCGCTGGCCACTGTTCCAACCATTGTTTTTATTTGTTCCAGATTGTTTGCAAAAAGACTAATTTTTTTTCATGTTCTCCCGTGATCTTGACGTCAAACAGGCTATGTCTCGTTGTTTTTTTAGGCCTTTTAGCCCCAGCTAGTCAGAGAGGCTTTCTTGGTGCACTCGGCAGGAAGGGCAGTGCTCCCTACTAGAGAACATTGCTCTTGCTCCGTCTTTTTCTGATGCAGTGTCGCAACGGTTCATATGTAGCCAATAGCACATGCCTCTTTTTATCTTGGTTCATCTTGCACGGTTTGCCAAGCAGAGTAGTAGAGAAAGTGGCAGCCATTTTACACACATAGGTTGGGCAGCTCGTAATACTAGTGCCGGGCCTTTGCAGAACGATATGCTGCCGGAGAGGGTGGCATTTGGTCAAGTTGTTTAGGAATGGCCGACGACCAACACGTAGCAATTCGCATAATTCCGACATCTCAGCGCTTACGTCAGTTAATAGCGCTTGAACATATGTATATTGAAGTTCTTGCTCTCAGGATCCAGGGTTGGCAGACTTCCCGAGATGGTTACGCATCTAGATAACCAGTTGCCTTGGAGCAGTTTCACTGTCAGGAATATATAGCTTCCAGTGGTGTTCCTACAACATATTTTATTACGACAGTAGTGGACATGTTGCATCTCCCAAAGTGCCTGAGTGTTCGGAGCGCCAGTCAGGGGACATTTCTGAGGGTTACAGGCACCCCGATCGAAGTTGCCACCATACTATATTGGACGTCTCAGGCTGGCCTCCAAGTGCCTTGTGGCCGGGTCTGGCCCCACGGGAAACCGCAATGCTTGCACTGTTGACGCACTCTGTTCCCGTCTCGTAAGACGGGCGATTGGTTTTTGCTGAGCAACGATTGTCCATGTTGTTTGGGCCCCATTTCACTCTGGCGCAGCTCCGAGGAAAACATCTTGCCGGCACGTACGGTGGAGGGGAGACATGCGGTCGGCTGGCTGAACTAGCGACTGCTTTTTCCCGGGGAATGTCGTTCAGAGCGCTCGGTGATGTTTCAACATTGCTGGAAGTAACACAAAATGCCGGGTTTTCCACAGAATTGAGTGGAAGGGAAGCGTGCATTCTGCTCCAGTAAGTAGAACAGGTGGTGTGAACGAAAAAGACGGGTGTGCTCGTTGCTTGCTTTGGGGTAGTCCATTGAGTCACGATGTGCCCAAGTCTGGAGGCCCAAGAGTGGCAGCCGGCATTTCATGAAAGGGGGCTGCCACTTTGAGGCTTTGTGGAGGTTCCCCTTCAAAATGTCCCAGAAAGTGTTCTTGTTACCTGCAACATGCGACAGATTCCTGTCGGTGTACACACGGGTGAAGCGGAACTGTGCTGTAGTCCCGTGAAAACATTGGGGGGCAGTGCTGTTTGCATCGGCGTGCATTCATTCGATGATAGCTCTCCTCGTGATTGCAGCACTGTTGGGAATACAAAAAGTCCTAGGTAAATCCCGCGACGCGAGCATTTTCGTGTTCCCTTCATTGTGTGAAACTGTCGGCGTACATGTTGGGGGGCCTATAAAAGAAGTGGCACACAGCGTACAATGGGATCATTGATGATGCCCAGATGGCCGCATAAATCCTCGTGCGGCAACTTGTCTTGCCTCAGTGCACTGAAGAGAGTGATGATTCTTGCCCAATTTGGCACAGGGGCAATGCCATACCATGCACTGTCGTGAGCCAAGTATGGCTTCGAAGGAGAATGCTTCGTTTACATGTGGAGCAATTGCTCTTCTGAATGTTGTTTCTCAGAAATGCTAATGAATATGGTACCTGTGCTTTTTTGTGTCGCCAAGTGTACCTCGTGCGTGTGCCATGTCTTGCTTGAATTTGGTAGGGAGGCATTGACCTCCCATGTGTACATCATTCCGATTGCTTTTACAAACGGCGGGAAAGAGCTTCACTGCGTCCGCTTGACGGCGTTGTCGTAACACTACCCATACATCACGATGTCACTGCTTCCATTGCAGTCTCTGTGTGAACAAAAACTGTGGTGGAACAAGTCTCTTTTGTACGCTTCAGTAGAATATATATCTTTATTTTTTATGTCCCTGATTTGTGGTGTTGCTTAGTCTTCTTTCATAATAGATCACAACTCATCAGTTGTCGTCCATCACGACTAACTGCAGCAGAGAATAAAGTGATCCTAACCATAGTGGTGTAAGCCAATCACACTTTGAATAAAGTAACTCAAAGCATGGCAGGTGTGGTTGGCGTTATAGAGATTTTGCTAAATGATTGGGGCACCAAGGAGCATATGTGTCAGATGCTGGCATCTGCAGCAGCAATTCTTTAAAGTAAAAATTTAAGTCAAATGACACTCGACACTTGGCACGTGCAGTCGTCGCTGCTTTATGTACTTCTATATTTTTCTACAGCATGTACAGCATATGTTCCTATAAACCCAGCATGTTCCCCGGCATTTCTATTATTTATCAAGAGGTCTATTACTATGAGTCGCTGACAAAGTAACTATAGCAGTGGAGCCTCCATGCTTCCAGGCCTCTAGGGCATGTCAAAATTTCCGTCAAATCAACCAGCTATGGAAATTGTCCTCAGTTTTTTGGGAGTGCATCAATGCTTTGTTACTTCTAAATATGAATAGAGCCGATTCGACTTACTGTGAGCCTACACCTAAAATTCCTTTGCTTAGGTCCTGATGATAAAAACCCTCTTCCAGCTGACATTTAAAAATGTGATTGCGAATTTCGTTTTACAAATCTGAAACATCAGATTTGTAATCTCGCTTCCATCATCTACAAGCTCCACATAACCATCCAACTGGTACATAGGCACTTGTATACAGGTGGCAAGGTCTTCTATGTAGCCTGTAAAATATACCTTTATCTATCTAGGTATACAGTGAAACCCGTTTAGAACGAACCCCCGTACAGCGAATTATTGTCGATATCAAACTCACAAAAAATTGAAATTAAAATGCATGTAGAGTGTGTTTTATAACAAACAACATATTGGCTATATCAAACTTTTTCCCCCGGGAAGGCTTCCAAAAACGTGCAAGCAATCGTCTTCTAGCCTGTCCCTTCCCCCCAAAAAAGTAGTAGGAATGAAAGAAAATTGCAAAAGCTCAAGTTGTGAAGAAAATTGAGCGAAAAGCAGCGATTCAGAAGGGGAGAAAGCTAAAAATTAAACTCTGTACTCTGCACGCATGCACAGAAAAAAAATCTTTTCATCCCAAAGCATTTGCCCACGAAGAGAACCAATTCAGAAGGGGAGATAAGCTAAAAAAAATCTGCATGCATGCAAAAAAAACAATGAAAAAAACTTTCCAGCGCTTTGTTACAAGGCGGAAGTGAAGAGATGAGAAAGAAAGAAGCTCTCGCCTTCGTTGTAAATGTTTTTTGCTATACCGAACTACTCGCTATATCGAACTGATTGTAGCATTTCCTGCTGTTCGTTATAAACGGGTTTGACTGTATATCAGAGGCAAGGAAATTGGTATCTGCAAGTGAATGGTGCAATGGTCATCATACTGTCAGTTAGAAACTTGACAATGAGTGCCCAGATTTAATGGTGACCCAGTGGATGAAGGCTGATGCAGATTTTTGTTTCACTCAACTATCTTTGCAGACAAGGAATTGAGGAAGCTTGTCCTATGTATTGAACCCCAATTACATAGCTGGGCACTTTGCAGACGCACGTCCGGGTTGTTTCGAGTGTTCTTTCAGGTCCGACGTAAACAAAACCTGCAGGAGAAAAGAAAGGTCATCAGCTGGGTGCTATGCCTAGCTTTAGTCAATATTTATTATGAAAGCATGCAACTTTCATACAGGTTTCTTGAATGCAGTTGAAAAGCATAAGGAGGTGAGCTTCCTGGCATGCACGGCATACACTACCTACCTTCCAAGGGTCACCGTACGTGAACGTTCACACGGTGGAATCTAGTCTGCCCTGAGACGGTGTCACACCCCACGTTTCTACTGCATACAAGCAATTCGGCTACTGCTGCATTATGGCCAATAACTTGTTTTTTTTTTTAACATGCATCACACAGCAGTGATTACACGAATGTGGGCTGGTACAATGGCTATCCGTATAAAAACCAGGAGGAATAGAAATTTAACGACCAAGTTTTTCATGTGCTGTTGTGCATGCTTGGCCCCCAAATCCTGTAACTAAACAATGGAGAAAGGGGGGGGGGGGGGGGGGGGGGCGAGTAAACAAACAAAGTAAGATGGTTCCTATGATATTTGGGTTCCGGAAGAAACGTCCCCGGAAAAAATGTCTTCAGAAAAAAAGTCCCCGGAAAATATGTCCCCAGAAAAAAAGGCCCCAGGTGGAAAGTAGGAAAAAATGTCCCCAAAGGGACATTTTTTCCACTGCCGTACGATCAGCTTTTGACTTTGTGTATGAATCTAGAGTCTGTCATTTCATTCCTGATTTTTTAACAATGCATCAGAACTGTTTTTGTTTGTTTTTCATTGTGAAATAAACATTTATAACCATTTCTAGCCAAAACCAAATTATTGTGTTTGGGAAAATTTGAGAGGTACTTGCGTGCCATTCCCAAATAGGTAAAAAGTGTGACACTTAGCACGAACAAGCGATTGGTAGTTGTTTCTTTTTTAATCGTTTTTTTTTTTTATAGAAACGAAAGGTTAGTTATGATCTAAGTTGTTATAGGTACTGAAAGTGCTTATCTCGGGATATAATGCAGACGGTAAAATTTTGTTTCCACTAATACTCTTTCTAAGTAAAATGTGAAAAAACACCAATGTCGTGTTTGCGCAAACAGTGTCACAACGTATACCTCGCAAAATCGCCTTATTTGTTGGGGCCGTTTTTCCCTACCTGCCACACGGTGCCTTTATTCCCAAGGACATATGACCGGACCATCCGAAGGCCATGAGGATCAGAAACCCAGAGATAAGAAATCACTTGGGGACACTTTTTCCCACTTTACACATGGGGCCTTTTTTTCCGGGGACATTTTGTCTGGAGACTTTTTTTCCGGGGACATTTTTTCCTGCACCTATGATATTCATCCTTCCACTCTTTTAGCTAGTTTCAGAAGTTTTGTTGTAGCAGCATGCAAACAAGCCCCTGGTAAAGGCACAATCTATGCGTGCTCTGATGTGGTGACCTTCAGATTTGAACCTCTTAATCACCACAGTGAAGTATGGCTGCTTACCGAGTGTGCCCAGCCAGCATAAGGGCCAAACCGCTCTTTGAAGAAGCTCCCTAAAGAATAAACAAAGGTAAGGTCAGCTATAATTTGGTCGTCTTGTTTCTCTACTTAATTTCAGTGAAGTGAATGAAGAGAGAGCAGTAAGTGTCTGTCTAGATAAAATCTGTTCATTCTCCTGTTTGACAAATAAAAAACACATTATGGTGCTTTTTATATCTGGCACTTCTTTTTTATATGCGGCAAAACTCTGAATTTCCCCTCGCAATTTCGAGTTAGAGTGACCATTTTAACCAGCCACTGAACCAAGGAGTTTGGTGTTTGCAACAATTAGTGGTCTTACAATAAATACTGCCAAGGAATACAGAATTCCCCAGGCAGTTATGTATCTCGCAGCTTAATGTTCTATCTGCTAAACAGTGTGAAATTTTTATGAGAGGACTGAAGTGTGTTTCCATGTCAGGTCGTACAATGACTGTCCAGGTAATATTTTTATATGTTTGTAAGAAATATATGTGAAAGCCATGTTCTTGGGAGGAACATTCAGCTATGTGTGAACACCATAGCTAAATTTTTCCCGAAGCTCAAGGCATGGACATTGCAAAGATTTCAATATGGCAATTTGCACAGCTGCCAACGTCACACCAAAAGCAGGCACATAGTTAAATTTTTTGTCATTTATTTTATAGACATTTTGCAACATTCACCAAATATTAAAAAACACAATAATATACTTCTATGAAAAAAAAAAAGATTATGAAATGTAAAAACAAACATGTTTTAGAGACAGTTTCACAAATTATTTACCAGCAAACAACTTTATGCAAAACGTCACAAAATATTTCAAAATGTGCATTTTGAAATGCAACTTATGCATACATAAAAAATATTTGCTTAGCCATTATTGCAGTTTTGATATTGATGCTGAAACATAAGTAATCTGTCCAAAAGTAGCGAACTTGCACTTCAATATTTTAAAATCTTCATCTTCTATTTATTTTAAGCTCTTCTTAACTCCTTGCAGTAGAGCTAACTTGTGACGGCAAAATATCAAGTAGCATATGACCTCCAAACGAGAAAAACAACAACAAACCTTCACTCAAATTGAGCTAGCTTGTCTTCGTTACAGTGTCTCTGTCGCACGACGTCGATTTCAAAGTTATTCTCTAGAACCGACAAAATCTGTACAACGGTGCTCCTCTATTGCAGAGCGTAGAAAGTCGTCATAACTTAAAACCATGGGACAGGAAGAATAAAAAAACTGTCAACACAACATAAAATATCAAGAACAGCCGAGTTTATTTGACCACACGAAAACAAGAAAACAGAATGTGATGTTGCAAAGATTTGACCAGACGTGGCTTGACAGACTAAATCCTTACAACTCTAGACACGCTTCAATAACGAGCATCCGCCGCCAAGCACCCGAGAACCGACCAACTTCCAAATCTCAGGGAATTAGATCACGATGTTTCCTAACAAGCTCATTTGCGCGCGTTCACTTCTCAGAAAGTCATACTGTCCCAAGCTTTGTATCATTTTTCTGTTTCCTCGTGTTTTCTCCTTAGCCCCCCCCCCCTACTTCTTTTATTTCCTGAGGCATTTTGGTGGACGCCACCACTGCCGGTAGTTGCGAACAGTATGAATGGAAGATTGTCTTGAAACTCAAGCACGCACACAAGGAAGGTCAGTCACTCTGTAACCAAAGCGAGGGAAGTCTTTTTTGACATGTTCTCTCCAAATGCCAATGTGAGAGTTCCTGTATGCCTCTCTCCGGGCTCCAAATGTTTGGTTAGCGTGGTGAAACCAAAACAGCAAGAAAAGTCCTTGTGGTCACCAACTTCTATTTGTAATCCTTGTGTGTTACGTTACACGTCGAGACCTTGAAATGGTAAGCTGATGTTGTACGTTTTCCACCTCACAATCTCGGACACCAAGATAACGACCCCCCAGATACTACTTCCCTCGCTTTGTTTAAGCGGTGACTGACCTTCCTTGTGCACGCGCTTGAGTTTCAAGAAGGCAATCTGCCATTCATACTGTTTGCAGCAGTGGCATCCGCTGACACTCCCTAGGAAATAAGCTGGAGGGGAAGGGGGGTGGGGGGGGGGGGGGGGGGGGGGGGGGTCCTAGGAGTCAACAAAGGGAAATTGAAAGATAAAACAAACCTTGGGATAGTATGACTTTTTACAAAGTGCATGCACACAAACGAGCTGGTTAGCAAATATTATAAAGTAACATCTTGAGATTAGGAAGTTGGTCGGGTTCTCGTAGTCTTGACCGAGATTATCTTGCGGTTGCTTGGCAGCAGATGCTTGTTGTCGGAAGCGTGTCCAGTGTTGTAGATTTAGCCTGTCAAGCCACGTGGGGTCAAATCTTCGTAATACCATGTTCTTTTTTCTTGATCTTTTCTTGTTTTTGTGTGGTCGAATAAACTCAGTTCTTGAAATTTTGTATTAAGTGTCTCTAAAACATGTTTTCTTGACATGCTTCGTAATTTCCTTTGTATATAGATATATAATTGTAATATTTAATATTTGCTGTGCATGTTGTAAATTGTCTATAAAATAAATTGAAGTTTTTTTTACTATGTGCATGCTTTGGTGTGACATTGGCAGCTGTGCAAATTACCATAGTGAAATCTCAGCCATGTCCACGCCTTGATCTTAATTTTGCATCCCTGGGAAACATTTTGCTACGGCGTTCACATAGAGCTGGATGTTCCTTCCAAAAACATGGCTTGCACATGCATTTATTACAGAAATATCGAAAATATTACCCGGACAGTCATTGTATGATTTGAGGTGAAAACACCCTGTACCGATTTTGACAGCCTTGTGCTTTGGCCAGTCAGTGATGCCACAGCTCTGTGCAAAATAGAGTATGTGAGTATGAGAAAAATCCCTGACTGCAAAAGCATGGATAAAGTGGGTCGAAAAAATGCTCTGCTAGAGTCTGCAACCTTGACACTAGCTTATGAAGCAGTCCAGAAATTTACCACTACAGGAAAAATAATCTCATAGGTTTAGATGAAATGGTGATGAACTTGCAATAGCACAATTTTAAAGGCCGATGAGCAGGTAGCACTCTGCCAGGCTGAAAATCCTTTCCCAGTGTTTTCTCCATTCCCCTTGCTCTTCCCTCCTTACCCGAAAAGAGTGGGTCTGGGCGTTAGTTTCAGTAGAAAAGGTTTCCTCCGTTCTGCTTGATCATCGGCCTTTAAAACAATAAAACATGGGCGAGATTTTTTTTCTTAGTTTAAAAGTTCTTTTCTTCTCAAACAGGGGCACAACCCTGAGCCTCCCAGAGGCAATGAGTGGCGCAGCCAAAAATATGTCGGCGACAGTGAACTGTGGCGAGAAACATGAAGTACCCACCAATTTCTCTATAGGCCGTGGTTGTTAGGTTTTTGTGTTTGGACAGGTGCGGTAGATAGTGGCGCACGGCCAGCTTCCAGACATGGACGTCCACAGGCACCACGTCGGCTTTGTCGAGGGCCATCAGGCACACGCAGTCGGCCACCTGCAGTTGAAAATAGAATGAAACCTGAATCCAATGCCTGGTACAAGCACATGGAGTAACAAACAGAATGTAAAAGAAGCTGATGCTGTATGCTTTGGACACACTTGTAACAAGTAAAAAACCAGGATGCACAAAAAAAGAAAAAGACTTGTAGTTTATGGTGATCTTATTTTCAGAATATTTGCGAAGCATTCGTTGGATCAATGTATTGTTCACAATAATTAATACGTCAGGCTTATCAAACAGCTTACTCTATTGCACAAATTTGTTCCCACAAAATATTCCAAGATACTACACTTCCACAAATTCTCTAAACATTAAAGGGGTACTACAACGAAATTTCGGCACTTATTTTATGGTCTATATGTGTTCAAAGGAGCAGTATCACGTCATACACACCAATATCTTGTTAAAAAAGACACGAAAAGAAATTTTAAAACAAATTAAGTGATTAGCAAAGAGCACCTGGTGGATGTCGCTAACGCCTCGTTTGTCTAGGAACCTTGAGAAGTAGTGACGGTTATTGTCTCGCCTCCGGCCACAACGAGAGAAGAGGGGAAGGAGGAACTCCCCTGTTCCCGAGAATTCCTTTTGTGCATCCAGACGTCGCTACTCTACAAGGTTATAGAAGATTAACCCGTCACTCAAAATTCTTAGAAAAGCAGCCGCTTCGATGGCTGGAACGACTAGGCCACCCTCTCGACGTCAGCCTCGCGGTAGCTTTGCTCGTCCCGAGACGACCTACGTCACAATTGCATCAGATGTCACGTGCTCTAAGCTGGGCCTTCTCCGAGCGCTTGCCAGAGTGGGCCGTTTATAACAAAAAATAGAGCCACCAGGCCCAAAATACAAACGTGCGATTCTCATTTACGGATATTGTGGATCATATTCAACCTATTTTTGGACACGACAGATATATTTAAAATTTCGTTGAGGTATCCCTTTAAACCTGCAAATACACAATTTACAGTCAATAGAAAAGACAATGAATAATTAACCAGACTATACAAACTAGGTAGCAAAGCATTAACAATATTTAAGGGGCCTCATTGTGCCCTAGCAGGCACACTCGTTCATGCAGCCAGTACACATCCCAAAGCAAAGAGCTTGCTTTCGCAACTTTTGCCTACTTCTTTAGGTAAAATGAAGCACCAAGGCTTCACTCAAAGTTTTCGAGTCTGCAGACAAACCAGACTTGTCACTGCAGTAAACGGGTCAAGTACAAGCTAAGGGTAGGTGAGAAATTTTCTCCTTTAAAAGTAGAAGGCAAAGGTCACAGGCTTTACAAGGTCACATGTGAGCCCCAAGCAGCCTCACCTTTGGGCCCACACCAGGCAGCTGGAGCAGCTGACTGTGTGCCTCAGGGTAGGATGCCTCACGGAGAGAAGCCAGCCAAAGGGGGTCTTGCTGGGAAAGGGCCCTGGCTGCTGCTCGCACATAGCGAGCACGGTACCCGAACCCAGCTGCCTTCAGCTCCGGCTCCACGCTGTCTCTGTCCAGCTGCTCTGCCTGACCATGAAGAAAAGACAACGCACCATCCCCCTCCGAGCACAGGAAACAGATCGAGGCACAATGGGTGAATGGGAGAAGGAATCCTGCTTTAGGACGGCGTGAAAAAGCAGGATGTTATCCCTTTCCTTTTTCTGCTACTGATTATTTCCATGCCCTCACTAAGTTCTCACTAATAAATGCCCGCACTAATAAATAAATAAGTCGGGGCACCAGAGAAGTTGTGATTTTTATTATTTCAGAGATGAGATTTCCGGAGTTCCGAGAAAGCCTGAACAGTTTCAGTGATGCTGGCAAAATCCCAGTTCAGCATGTGTATAGTATTGCGGAACTAGAATAAAACATGAAAGAGGTCTGGTTATGGTCCCTACTATAATGGGTTTCACCATAACACATACTGCAGCAGTCGCTAAGTGCAAGCTTGTTCCACCTTGCTGCACAAGGGTCTGTGCAGCAACGTGCATCCTAAAGCAAGGTACTCATGCTTGTAACATTCACTGTGGTCCACATTAAAGCGAGCTGACTGAGCTCTCAGTACTAACTAGTCTGAGGTGGCTTATTATTGTACAAAATTAAGTGGAGAAAAAGCAAAAGGGAAGCAAATGATGTAGGCCTGTCCAAACTCGTACCCCACACGTGCCTGTGATTGATTTCTCGACTAAATGTTTGGTCTACACAGACGTATGCATGTGGCATTCGACTATGAAAGGACTTTCAGGACACTCACTGTGGGAAAGGCATAAAAGCTGCCAGTGCTGCTGCTGAGCAAATGGGTGCCATACATCTCACAGAGCTTGTTCACCATAGAGCTGATTCTGTAAAGAAAAGATGCTCTAGTATTGGGCTACTAAATATGGCTGCAAGATGGCACCATGACATATGTCCACTCCACTTCTACTAAAATGGCATAATAAATTAAAGCTGCAAAAGAGGTGGCTCCATCACTTGTACAAGAAGCCTTATGGCTTCCCCGAGTTTTGCACTCATGCCTGCAATCTTTGCTGTCTCGTGCACAGTCCAAATGGAGTAGAAAATACAATTTTTTTTCAACCAACCAAAACACCCACAAGCATTACAAAAGATGCAGTCTCAAAACCCCGACACAATAGGGTGGAGCGCCTTAATGAACATGTAGTACTCAAAGATGGAAAGGTTTTCAAAACCTCAAAGTAACATACCTGGTGATATTGTTGTTAGACGAACAGATGAATGCCACGAGTGCCTCAAAGGGGTCCTGCCTAAGAATCCTGACTCCTGGTAGAGCAACTGCGACGTCCCTAAAGATTTCGTCTGCCGCAGACCACTGCTTGTACAACTTCTCAAGGTCCACATTCATTTGAAAGTAGTCTCTGAGCAAATGTCCATGGTCGTCTAACTGACATTCAGCTTGACTTTCAGACAAGCCGTTCTTGGCTTTCCTTTTTCTGTTAGCTCCCTTTGCTAAGGATAGGCCATCATTACAACTTGATGTAGCAGTACCATTGCCATCAAGGACCTTGTAGAGAATGTTTCCTTCCAAATCTTGCTTGAGGACCCACACCTTGTTAGCAAAGGTACTCAGCCACTCGCCTTCATCATTTTTCTTCCACCTGTGTGCAAAACAAAATGGCAGCATGTTTAGAATGCATATAAACTGCCGCTGAACTCAATCAAAGTGTGTTTAGAATGGGTGCTCTTCACACAACAACCACATGCTTCAAGAAAAATTTTTTTTTTTTGGCGAGTTGCAGTGCAATTAGAAATTGGGCTTGCAATGCAAATTGCCAAAGTCAAAGGGGAAAGACTGTTCAAAATATTTTGAGTTTCAGGCAGACTGGTGGTCATTCGAGACAACCACTCGTATGTGCATGAAGAGGTGTTGTCAATGCCCTTGTTGCCAAACACATGCCCTCATTCATATAACATAGTGAGTGGCCTTGCCTCTGGCAAGGAAGGGTGAAATGCGAACACCATGTGGGCCAGCAGCAGGTCTGCACTAGAATCAGTGCATAACTGAATACTTGAAAAGGCAAATCAGCTTATTTGTTAGAATGCAGCGAGATTCTTTTATAACAAAGCCTTTGAGTACATTTGCTCGCCCTCATGTAGAATGCCAATCACTGAAATTTAGGGAGAAAAACAAGGAAATTCCGAGGACCAGAACATGTTTAAAACCAAGAATGTCATCAATGCTGGGATGTTCCATGTGCTCATGAACGTCGTGCTTTTCATCCCGTTTTTCCTGTGCGTTAACTTTTTGTCTCGTATCTTACAAGAACCATTTACATATTCGAGGATGTGCCTGGAATAAGCGCCACAATCTCAAATGTCATTTGTCTGTCCATGACAGATCTGAAACACTTCATACGAAGTGTGGCCAGTATGGATTCGAATAACGTCTTTGTGGGCCCGTGTCAGTTGTACACCTCTATAGTCACATACAGGCTAAGAATTAGCAAAATAAACACCACCAGATAACCAACCAGGAAAGACGAAAGCTGTGATGAGTTATGTTATGTGTGAGCTTGAGGAAGAGAAAGATGTTGGCACGGCCCAGGGCATCTGAGGTGGGAGCGCACAATTCCTGTGCCTGTTCGAATTAAGATGCATTTTTTTTTCTGTCCAGCCTGTCCTGTATCTTTCGAAAGTGAGCAATATGCACCGATCCCCCAGGTGTCAGTGCGGGGTGCACACTATCATCGCATTGCAGAAGGATACTGGCTGGCGGAAATAAGGACATGGCACATTCATAACTTGTATCCGACTATGGTTTAGATATTGCACTAGTTATGGTGTACTCATACTCAAACATAAAAACAGTCAGTTGAGAACAGTAACATAAAGGCCCGTTCACACTCTTGCAACTGAGAATGACCGAGAGAGACGAGATCTGTTATAACTTCTTTAAATTTCTTAGGACGAGAGAACACACTGGCAAGCTGGCGCCATCTATGCGGTGATCCTGGAACTGCATCTCACAAGAGTGAAGGTTTTGCGAGATTTCCCGAGGTCAAATGTGCGTAATACCTATAAGAAAGGCTCGTTTATAATGTTGACAAAAGTTTTTCGAGCCAAGAAAGAAAGGATAATGCGCGAGAGAAATAAAAAATATGCTGGACCACCAAGTTTACACTGCTACCCAATAGATGGTGGCGCCAGTGTGTCCTGTCGTAAGAGGTTTAAAGAACCCAGTTTTAAGAGGTCGCAAGAGTGTGAACGGGCCTTAAAACTTAATTGCTTGTATTACTGAACAGAAAGCATTTGGAAAATATATTTGCAAAATGCTAAAAATACAGTGAAATGGTGTGTGTGCGACAGAAAATGTTCTGGCCTCAAATCAAACTAAACACACATGGGGTGCAAGAAACTTGAGCAAAAATGTTTCACTTCATCACACTGTGGTCGTTTTTGTGATTGGCAGAAACGTTCGTTGTCGTTTGTTTATATATTTTGCTTGTGCACAGAGGCGGAAAGTTTTCGATTTCTCCAAGGGAAATCGGGACCCGACAGTAGAGGTCTGCACGGCCAATATTTAGGAGCCCGGCCCGCTGTCTCTTGGATCTGGGCCTGCCCACGGCCCGCTATCCATTTTCGTCAGCCGGCCCAGCCCAACGCTAATTTTCACGAGCCTGCTGATGCTCGCTCTATTTTTGCCCAGCATGAATAGCTCACAAACTGCACGGCATGGCAGCTCGCTTGCAACTGCTACACATGTTGACTACGGTACCCAGTAGTCAATGCAGTGGGCATCCTTTTTCCTTTTTTTTCTGCCATTATTAGTTGGACCGACCTGTGGGCCTATGCGGCTCGTTAAGAAAAATTACCCACGTTGCCCTTTTCTACGACCAAGCCCGCACATGGGAAAGAATGGAAAAATAAAATTGGCAAATAGTAGTAAACAAAGCCATGTGTCAAGGCAGAAAACGAACGGAAACGTCGCGACAGGTTTGGACAAAAGACGAACAAAGTTCTACATTGCCCATTCCCGCTGCGGTCTTTTGTGGTGGTTTGCGAGAACTTTTTTATAAAGAAAAACACCCTTCAGGGGAACTTTTTCAGTCATATTGATGCACGCAGTCGTACGTACAGTTGGTTTACGCCTGCGAGGGTGCGCATTCTGTAGGAGCGTATCCGTGAGTGTTGATGGGGAGAAGCGACTGTACAACGGCAGCGGCGCCGTTGACGAAAATGATCGCCGCGCCGCTATGCTCCGAAAGTGCATTCGCTGCACACGCACACGAACCGTAGAAAAGCATACCCAAACACACATGATTTCAACATTTAGGTATCTCCACTATCGTTCCTCCCCCCAACCATCCAAATAAACTTTCAAAAAGCATTGCTGCTAAAAAGAAAAGAAAAGAAAGTAATTCCTTGTTCGGCTTGCTTTGTAGCTTTAATGCAAGTTCACGAGTCGGCCTGTGGCCCACGGGCTGGCCCGTAACCGTGCAAACCTCTACCAGTACAGGAGGCTATGACCAGAGAGATCTCCCCAACCCTCCGTGCACCCACAGGTGGAATTTAGTTTCCCCGTAGTCGGCGCCTATACTTGTGCAAGTTCGCAAGCTAAATGCCTCCGCGATTTCTTTAATATTTTTTAAGCCGAATTTTGCAAACGCTTTAGACTGCTGTCAAGGTTACTTGAATCGCTAAAAACTGCACTGACAACTCTCCCGATGTGAGGTCAGCCAGTATCATACCTGAAAGACTGCCCGCAACGTAGAGTGATATCTAAATTGAGCTGACGTCGAGTGCATTGAATAGACGCCCAAGCCATTTGACTGGCAGAATGAACAACCATCCGCTTGGCTCTTCGGCTTCACTCCGCACCAAAACAAACAGTCATGCGGCGATTTGAGGCAAAATGGCAAAACCGCAAAAAGCTTCCGCGGCTCCCGCTGTCTCCTTTTTGAAATACGTAGCTGGATAGATACGCAGTTGGATAGCCGAAGAACTGTTAAAGATATAGATCCAAAGCACCACCCCAAAAAACGCCGTTATAGGCGGCGGCTAGCGCCACCTAGCCTATATGAGGGAGGTTTTGCATTTGTTATGCCTGTCGCCTCCAGAGCTCCAGTGCGAACGCGAAATTCCCCTACCTTCGATTACACTTCGGCATCTCGTAAACTTTGAGCGCGCGCGTGCTGGCAAAGCACTTGCACGCTCACGGACCTCTCCATTTCCAGTGGAGCGCTCTACCAACTGAGCTGACCAGGAGTTAGACGTCAATAGAGCAGACGGGTTTTATTAGCTGCCACCAGTCTAACACCAACAAGAATAAACGGCCTGCATTTTTAGGGTTATGATAATAACGCAATTAAATGCAAAGGTGCCAGCGAGCTGGACAAGAATGACGAAAATAATTCCGGGAGAAGGTGAACAAGGGGGAAAAAGGACAAACACGAATCTCCATGATAAAGTAGTGAGTGCACAGGCGAGCTAGTGGATGTTAACCATTTTGTTCTTAGCCCGAGACTGAGGCAGGAAAAGAGGAAAGTTTCAAAGTAGAAGAAAAATGAACAGTCGAGCAAGGTGACTGGTGCGCGACCGAAAAAATCCGCCTGGTCCGCGTATCGAACACGGACCTCTCCATTTCTAGTGGTGCGCTCTACCAACCGAGCTAACCAGGGGTTAGACATCAGTAGAGCAAACAGGTTTCATCAGCTGCCACCAGTCTAACACCAACAAGGGTGAGGGCTTGAATTTTAAGGTTGTGATTATCGGTCGCGCACCAGTCACCTAGCTGTGTTTGCAGATTTGTGTTTGTCCTTTGTCCCTCTTGTTCCCCTTCTCGAGGGATTATTTCCGTTATTCTTACCCAGCTTGATTGCAATTTTGCCTTTAATTGCATGATAATCATAACCTTAAAATGCAAGCCCTCGCCCTTGGTGGTGTTAGACTGGTGCCAGCTGATAAAACCTGCTTGCTCTACCGACGTCTAACCCCTGGTTAGCTCAGTTGGTAGAGCGCTCCACTGTAAATAAAGAGGTCCCGGGGTTGATACCCGGGCCAGGTGGTTTTTTTCGGTCGCGCACCAGTCACCTAGCTGTGTTTTGGAAATTTGTGTTTATTCTTTGTCCCTCTTGTTCCTCTGCTCCAGGGATTATTTACGTCATTCTTGTCCAGCTTTCTTGCAGCCTTGCATTTAATTGCATTATACTCATAACGCGCACGTTCCCAAACTTAATGGCATTGAATAATAATAAAAAGCATCGGTAACTAACCATGTTAGTTAATCATGGTATGAGCTTTTTATGTGGTAAATGCGGACAGAAAAAAAAAGTGACAACATAGCAGGTAGAACAAGCCTAACCGTTTTTGTCAACAGGTAGTTCCCAATTTTCGGGTATTAAATTTGAATGGTCATTAACAGAAAAAAAAAAAGTATAATCTCCAGTAGAGTTCCCCCTTCCAAGGCAGCACGTCGACAGTGGGCCAGCGCCGGGGGAATATTGCGCACAATATTGGCCCAGTTTCATTTTTTGTACCACGGCCCAGTATTGAGCCAATATCGGTTAACGATCGTTCTGAAAGTGGGCCAGAATCGGCGATATCATTCGAGTTCTGGGCAGAGATGGGCGAATATCGGTTAACATGGCCGCGGCCGCTGCGGTGTCAGCGTTCAGCGGACTTGGGCCAACCGCTCAGTTGGGAAACTGCCACAGAGCCTGCTCTGAAAAAGTGGCACCGATCCGTACTTGAGAACCGAGCTAATAGCGATCACAACGCCGCCATTTCTCCCGCACCGGCCACTCGAGGAACTGCACGTGAGTTCTATTTTGGCTTAATCGGCCATTTTGGCTCTGAAACAGATACGGTGGAAGGGGCTTCGGGGCGGTGAGAAAATGTGGGCTTGTTTCGCCGATATGTGGATTAAACAATCTCGTTATTCAAGAAATGTCTTGATAAGGCAGCCTGTCCCCGGGAATCTGGAGCGGCTCACCAGAAATCAAAAGGTGAAAGAGAAATTGCTCATTCTATGAACCAAAATGGCGACCATATGGGGAGCTTGATGCTACCTTCTGAGGGATCTAGTCACCTTAACGCACACTAACCCTTCTTTTGTTTAATTAGATCTAGCAAGTAACTCTTGAACGGCTACTCATTAGCTTAACTTCAATACTTCGTGGGTACCAGGTGACAGTATTTAACTCGTTGTTCAACTGCGTCCTTGGATACCACGCCATTTCGTTAGATTGTCTTCGTTTTCTCACGCGGCGTATCCCATATGACGGAGAGGCAGCTGCAGTAATTTCAGCAAATGTGCGAGTCCGGTTTTTTTTTGTTTTTTTTTTTTTCTTTCAGTAGTTTAGCAGTATTTTTTATTGCGATGTGAGCGACTGTCAACTCGCAGCATAGAGGCGCACATACGTTGGGATGGCCCACAGATCGGATAGACAGTTAAACGCACCACACACGACAATATAAAATATAATTTCGCAGAAACGTATGAGTTATTGACCTGTTTGCGTTTCAAAAAGGAATGCAAAACGTTTTTTTCTTCTCAAGTTCTCATTTGTTTACGAGTTATAGTAGGCTTTTTTGTTTGTTTATACACAGGGGTGGATTTAGTGGGGGGGGGGGGGGGGGGGGGGGTCTGGATGTCCTGACCCCCCTCTTGATTTATGCTTGTGTAAATTTTAGGGCGTTAAAACGAAAGGAGAGGGGGAGAGGGTTCCTAAAAATATGGTACGCTGACCAACACCTGACCCCCCCCCCCCCCCCCCCCCCCTCAGGAAATTCCTGCATCCGCCCCTGTTTATACAAATTTGATATGTAGTGCATCCTCCGCCTCGTAATGTGAGCAGGGGTAAAAAGAATAGATAAAGATGTCTCGTCTAATTAGAACAGCAAAACGATTTCCGGTGCTAAAATAGCACCTGCGGGCAGCGATGCTTTTTAGTGCGAGCAGTTTTTGTCGATAACGTAGAAAGGGAATTATATCGTGGGTTTTTTTTTTTTCTTTTTTTTTTTTTTTTTTTTTAGGATTTCTACGTCACCAATAAGGTCACGACCCCTCCCCCCTTTCCCCCACAACCCCAAAAGTAATCGATGTCAAATAGTCACAGATGCATATGCGAAATACGTAAACGGGAAATACCACTATAAATGCCTCTGCGCTCAGCTATGTGCAAACGACTCGGCCCTGGTAGTTGCAGTGCGCCAGATCGCGTGACAAGCAGTGGCCTCACCGATCGTTTGATCGTAGGTGAGAGGGATCACAGTTCTTGCACCGCATTAGATTTCGCGTAGTGGGCCGTTTTCTTTGGCGCAGCAGCATTTAAATTTTTTTTGCATGTAAATTATATAACGTCAAATGAAATAGTATTGCCAACAAATAATATCGAAGTCGTCCACGCAGGTGGGTATATAGACGCTTTGCAGCAGTTGTGCATGGGCGCCGCCATAACCAACCTTCAGTTTTTGCTTTCCTGATTACTTTCACTTCCTTCATCATTGCCAAGGATGCGTCGTTGTCATTTTAGATTGTACTGTGTCTTTCTGTTCAGCATTGGCCTTTGTGGAGACTCGTCAACGCTCGCTTAGTGGCTCGGCAATCTAGGTGAGACGAGAGAAGGTGAGCAATTGGCGGCTGTAATCTGGCGCGTGTGAAAATCATCGATACATTTTTACCCAAGAAACGTTTAGTTGCAGAAATGGAACAAAAAATGTTGGGAAGCGTCGCATCTCAAGCCTTGAGCACCACCTTCAAAGAACATTTTGTGGGCCGGAGTTATGCGGCCTTGAAACAGGGGCCGGGCAATATTTTCATCAAGAGGAACTTCACCGGATTTTTCACTCGGGTAAGCTGCGCTCAGTGTTCTGAAGATTCAGCTACCTCTTGTTTGAGTTTTACATCTCGTACAATTACCGTTCAAAAGACGAAGTTTGTCATTCGTATGCGGAATAAAAACAATTCCGTAAAGCGTAAGAGCGAGCTGGCAAACCGTTAAGACACACCTGAGGAAAAACCGTCGCGTCGCCTTGGTTATTGGCGGTGCTACGCGAAGCGACTTTCGCTCACATGAAATTCACGCTTTAGGAATACCCGATGGGGGTCCGCAAAATACACTCTCTCTCTCTCTCTCTCTTTCTCTTTTTTTTTTCTTTTTTAGACGAGAGCGATTACGATTGATCAAACGGGAATTATGTCTCAGCAGGATCGGAGTTATGCGGCCATTATTCTGCTTTCAGCGATGTAAATAAGATTAACGTAAGACTCAACTTTCACGGTGCCGGTTTTATAAACACGACGGTCATGCCGTCACAAGTAAGAAACATATCTATATCTTCTACTTACTCAGTCTTTGAAATTCCTCTTGTAACAGTACCATGCTACAAGTACCTTGGGGTGCACATCATTTCTAACATGCCATGGAAAACTCATACTGACCACATTATCGCCAACGCTAACTCCATGCTTGGTTACCTAAAGAGAAACTTTAAGCTAGCACCAGTATCCCTAAAACTACTAATGTATAAAACCCTTGTCCGTTCCAAACTAGACTATGCTGCAGCAATCTGGGATCCTGGTCTCTCAACTCTCGTGACTGATCTTGAAGACCTAGAGAATCGCGCATCGCACATCTGCACTGTTAGCGAAAATGTAATATTTCGCCTGTTTACACCCCATTTTCACTCGTTAGCATATTTTTACACGCTCTGCTAGTGATAAATCGTCAAAAAATTACTTCGGGTAGTAAAAATTGGTGTTTTGGCTTCGGTTTACACGACTAGGCGTGTAAGCAACACTGAAAACACCCCAGCCCAACACCCCAAAACGTCGAGCGCCATGTTGCTTCTGCCTTGAAGCGGTACCGGCGGTACGGCGGAAGCCGAAGGTGAGTGTTTGATTTTTTTTATCAAGTTTGTATAGAATGTAGCACGTCTCAGATTTTTATTACATGACATACAAGAACGTTA